AGCCCCAATGGAAGTGAGCTCTGCTGGGCCCCATGTAAGGTGACAACTTCTACCTGTAGTGCTCCACTCTGCCTTCCTGGAGATTTTTAAATTCTCTGGGTACCCTGGGCACAGGAGTGTGTGGGATGCTTCCCTACACTGAGGGCACCTGAAGGAGAAGCCTGTACAGAGGAAAACAGATGGAGGAGCCTGCACTACTGCCACCAACCTTGCATGGCTGGGAAGTAAGCACCTTGGAGAGCTACCAGCCTTCCAGCACAGGTCCCTGTGCCTGAACCTTCCCTTCCATCCTGTCGCCACTAACCATCATTCTTTTTTCCCTTTTTGAGTTTTGAGACAAGGTCTTGCCAAGTGCCCAGACTAGCCTTGAAACTACTAAGCATGTAGCCCAGGCTGGTCTGAACATGAGATGCTCCAGCTTCAGCCTCCCAAGTGCTAGGATAACAAGCCTGGGCCACTGGGCCCAGCTTCTCCAAGATCATCTGCCTTCACTCACTCCAACTTGACCCCATTAAACAGACACTGACACTGTTTTCAGAGGGTAAAGGTTCTGCAGCCCGACTGTCCAAAGCCCCTGTGCTATTACTCCTCCTCTACTAGAGTCAAGGTCTGGCACATAGTCCCAGTACTACCTTTCTTCACCCATCTATGCCAGCACACAGCCCTGTGCTCTTCCTTAAGTGTAGGACATGAAAGGAGGTAAAGAGAGGCCAGGCACCAAGCCCAACTCTGATGGTCACAGGTGACATCTGAGGCCATATAAATGTCACAACTAAGGGCAGGACCCGTGGGCTGCAGGCATCTGCAATGCCTGGGACAGCACCTCTACAACCAAGGAGCCTACCCCAGGTATCCACAATGCCCAGGTTGAGAAGCCCTGGGCTACAGGGTCATGCAGACAGTAATAAAGGGACAGAGGTAAGCCTTCTGGGCTCCCTCCCATCAGCCACTTAGCTAGGGTCATCTCAGTGGAGTAGAGCCCCCACAACTTACTCATTCTACTTCTTCCCCACCATCCATCCATGTCATACCGTGGATGGAAGCTGAGACCACTAAGCCACACCCAGAGCTCTTCTATCTTTCTTCCCCCCTTTCTCCTCTCTCATCCACCACTGAGCCTGAGCTGCCCATGTCTGAATTGGTGGATCAGGGTGGGGACAACAGCTGCCAGTGCGCACTCACTACCTCAGACAGAGACTCACCAAGGCACCATGAGACTGGGGGGCCGTAATCTGCACTCCCATTTTGCTGGTGGGAAAACTGAGGCCTCAGTTCAGAGCAAAGAAAGAGCACTAGCCTGGTTTGCTCTAGGGTAGAGCCTATGCCCACCATCCTCTGACACTCCTGGGCTTTACCTGAGAGATGACTCTGCAGCTACAGCAACTCATAGAGTAAGGCTATGTATGGAGCTATTTTAGGAAGTCATGACCCTGGGGTAGGAGACCAAAGACAGGTGTGCTACTAAACCTAAAATGTATGGGACAGCCCTGTCCAGCCCAAGGTGGCTCCTGGTTTCCACCATACACACACACAGCTTTGCCAGGAACTCAGCTGGCCAATGAATAGCTAGAAGCCACTGTTGGCCCTGTTGGATCCCACTCTTCTGTGCTATCTCCATTCCTGCACCACAATCAAACTCTTCTCCACCCTACTTCTATCCAGTGTTGAGGGACTCCCGAAACAGGATGAGGAGTGTGGAAAACCTCACTCCATCCTGTCTGTCTCTCTCTAAGGAAAGAAGCAGTGCAAGGGGGACTTCTCAAAGCCATGAACTACAGAAGTTCTACAGAAGGGCTGCCAGTCCTTCTATGAGATCACCATGGCAACAAGAGCCTGCAGGATGCAGCAATAGACTACAACTGATGCTTCCTTACATGTGAGCAGTGTGTACCTCACCTGAGCTGCACAGACCAGGGCTCTGTAACCTGGTCTGGCCTTGGCAGTACAGGAATCCAAGGGCCTGGAGACCTGGAGGTAATGGGGCTACCCAAGCACTATACTAGATGGAAATCAAGCATCTATGGACTGAAGAAGGCTGGAAGGTGTGTGTGTGTGTGTGTGTGTGTGTGTGTGTGTGTGTGTGTGTGTGTGTGTGTGTGTGTGTGTGTGATGACTCTGAATGCCCAGTCATGTTAGATAGCCATTACTTCAGAATGCCTGAGATGGGATGGCCCAGGGTGGAGAGATGAGATGGATGAAAGGAAGCCTGGGGAGGAAGACAAGGGAACTTGGGTATGGGTCTGGAAAGGCAGGAGCCACAGCCCTAGGACACTCATGACTATGGGGTAGGTACTCCATGGCTTCAAAACACATAGACAACAGAGCCAATGCTAAGGGACTGAGTGCTAGCCCAATATGCACAGTCCTAGGCTCCATGCCCAATATCATGTCAGCCTCACACTTGTCATCCCAGAACTAGGAAAGTGGAGGCAGAAGGATCAGTTGTTCAAGGTCATCCTCAGCTACACAACAAGTTCAAGGCCAGCCTGGACTACATGACACTGTCTCAAAACAAAAACAAACAAACAAACAAAACACACACCTAGCTTACAAAGGTGACAAGACATCAAACACTGTGCTGGGAACATGTCCAAGAGACGGAGTGTTCTGGAAACACATAGTGGTCAGAAATTGATAGATCTGAGGCACAAAAACTTCACCCTTGACAGGACTGGGAGTGGGGGTACGACAAAACAGGAGATGGGCACAGCCCTTCCTAGGCACAAACTTCAGTGCCAAACATTCTCCCATTTCAACTTTACAATCAAGCGAGCAATTTACTGTGGACAGTGTGTGTGGGAGCTGTAGGAAAACACAGCCCCAGGGAACAGCAAATCCAAAATGCTCCAAGGCCCATCTCAGCAACAACCCTCAGCAATAACCTCCTTCCCTGGCTCCTTTCCCATGGAATAGCTAGCTAGCTCTTGGACAGCTTCTGGAACAAGCACTGCTCTAGAAGCAGGGGGCCCACTAGTGATGGAGAAGAAAAACTCCTGCCCTGGCAGCGCTTCAGCTCCAGCAGAGCGTAACCTAGCCTGCTGACTGACAGCTGCGACGGGAAAATGAAGCAGGGCAGAAGGGACAGGAAAGGTGGCCACCAAGGAAAACAGGTGGCCAGGGAATTCCTCAAGAGTAAAGCATCGTGAAGAAGAACAGACCACCAGGGTGGGCTGGGGGTTACTCCAGACAGGATATCCAGGCTCCCAGCAGGCCGGGGCACAGTGGGCCAGGGAGGGAGGGAGGAAGGGCCTGTGTAGGAGGGTCACCCTAGCTTCTGGTTAAGGCGCAGCAGGAGTAGAGGTAGAGGGGAAGACACCCTGTGGAAACGAAAGTAATGGTTCTGGGCTATGAGGGACGTTCCCACTGACACCACAGAAGACAGGCTGAGAGACAGGACCAGTTTTCTGGGAGGGGCCTCTGTTCCAAACAGGACATAACCAACCCCAAAGGAGATCTCAATGACACTAGCCCCATGTAATAGTGCACACCTGTCATCCCAGTACCTGAGAGGTGGAGGCAGGAGAGCCAGGACTACATGGCTAGCTTTAGCTATAAGGTGAGTTTGAGGACAGCCAGGGCTACATGACTAAAACACCAAATATAAAACCCTAACAAATTTTAAAAGTATGGGTTTAAAACACATCCAAAGAGTAAGTCACTTCAACCTCTAGTTCTCTGGTTCCCCTACTGCCTCCACCCACAAAGGCTCCTTAGAAATGAGGTAAAATAGACATGAATGGGGACCTTAGCCCAGGACACTCTGGTTCATACAGACCTGCCTCAAGCAACTTACCTACAGCTACCTACCTTTGAAGGCTGGGATGAAGATTGAGTTTGGCAGGTGTAAACACTACCTCCATACTCCAGGCACCATCCCAACGCCCTCCCCTACCAGTGCCAAGTGAAGAACCCCACATCACTGAATTTTCTACAGAAGGCTCAGGAATATTGCATGGTGGAGAACCAGGTCCCTGCTGCTATTAGCCTGCCTGTAGTTGCCAAGGGAGAAAGGACAGGGCTAAAAATAGACCTCTGAAGGCCCAAAACTACAACCCAGGAGCAGCCCCCAAGGAAGAACATCAGAGGACATCAGGCTGCAGGACGCCTGACTATGAGACTGAGGAAGTGTAACATGGCCCAGAGTGCTCAGATGGGGAGTCAGGGCCCCACTGGGGAGGGTTCATAGAGCAAAGAAAAAAAAAAAAAAAAAAAAAAAAAACAACAGGCAATTAGGACCTGCATATCAGGTGGCCAAGCCTAAATTAGGGGATATGCAACCCAAAGGACTTGAGGGACTGGTGGGAAGAAGGATGCAAGTTCTGTGGCATATTTGGGTAGCCTTACCATATTCACACTACAGGGGACGGTATCACGGTGTCAAAAACAAAAACGGGATGGGCAGAAGCAGTTGAGACTTTCAAGACCAGGTGGTCAGGCTTAAATGGGGGGCATCAGGTGCACCCCAAAGGGCACGGAAGCCAATGGCGGGAATAGGGGCTCCGGGTTCGGGTTTGAGCACAGCTCGGAATGCAAGCCACGGGTCGGGGTGGCCAAAGACCTCGTGGGATGACTGGGAGCTGGGCCTAAGGCCAGCCCGGGTACGGAGGCCCCGGCCTCAGGCGAGGGGGGCGGGGAACCGGGCTGCCGTGAGGAACCGGGCCGAGAACCGGACGCCATGGAGGGGGGGCCCGCCGGGTGCCCAGACAGGACGAGGCCGGACTCTCGCAGTCTGAGGCGCTCACCCTTCGGCTCTGGGGCTCCCTCAACCTCCCCCCCCCCACCCGCTCGCCACCAGCTGGCCTCGGACGGCGCCTCCCCTACCTTCGTTCGCCAGGTCCGCCATTTTACTTCCTTAAGCCCTCCCACAAGGCCCCGCGCCCGGCCCCCCGGGCTCCGTCTGCTTTCTGCTGAGGACTTCCTGCGCCTGCGCATTCCACCAGCCGACGCCGGGGCGCGGAGGAGGGCAGCTCGCACCGGCTCGCGCGCCTGCGCACTAACGGTCCTCTGCCCGCCTCCTCTTCCCGCCCGCGAGAGGGGCGTGGCTAGCGCAGCGCGCATGCGCGCAGGGCAGCGTGAGTGTGTCCCGGGTCCTCAGGTCCAGGCGTTGGCAGGATGCTAAGCGGGACGCTGTCCGCACGCCGCGCATGTGCACGGGCGAGCGGCGCTCACTGGGATCCCGCCGCTTTCCCTGTGGTTTCTCTGGCGTGAACCGAGGCTAACTGCTAAGTGAGTCCTTTCCACAGGCACGCAGGGGTGACCCTGCACCTCAGGCCGCAGTTTCCATTTGCTCGGCTTCCCTAAGGCCGTGTAGGAGGGTGAGGAAGAGGCAAAGTCAGGTCACCCCTGACTTCAGACACAGGCTGTGCAAAGAAAGACTCAACCCAGCACGCCCGAGGCACAGGCAGAGGCAGGTGGAGCTCTGTGAGTTCGAGGCCAGCCTGGTCTGCAGAGCGAGTGCCAGGTTAGGCTCCAAAGCTACAGAGAAACCCTGTCTCGAAAAACCAAAAATAAAAGAAAGAAAAGAAAAAGAACAGAAAATCTGGGCATCGAGGTTACATCTGTAAATGGGTGTGTGTGAGAATGTGGGGCGGCTGACCTGCAGTCCTCCATCTATAAAACACACTCAAAAACCCATGGCTATGGGCTGGAGAGAGGGCCCAGAGGTTAAGAGCACTGCCTGCTCTTCCAGAGGCCCTGAGTTCAATTCCCAGCACCCACAGGTTGGCTCACAACCATCTGTAATGAGATCTGGTGCCTTCTTCTGCTTATAGGCATACACACAGGCAGAACACTGTATACATAATAAATAAATCTTTAAAAAAACAACAATGAGCCGGGTGTTGGTGGCACACGCCTTTAATCCCAGCACTCGGGAGGCAGAGGCAGGCGGATCTCTGGGAGTTCGAGGCCAGCCTGATCTACAGAGTGAGTGCCAGGATAGGCTTCAAAGCTACAAAGAGAAGCCCTGTCTCGAAAAAAAAAAAAACAATGTAATGCAAATTTTAAAAAATCTCCATGGGCAATGTTGTTTTGTTTTGTTTTTGAAACTGCAATACATCAACACTATACAAATTTATTGGTTTTGTTTCCAAGGGTTTTTTGGGTTTTGGTATTTCGAGACAGGGTTTCTCTGTGTAGTCCTAGCTGACCTGAAACTCGTTCTGTAAACTAGGTTGGCCTCCACTCTGAATTCTCCTGACTCTGCCTCTTGAGTGCTCATTTAATGGCGTGTGCCACCAGTTCCTGGCAATTTTTTGTAGGTTTGCTGTTGTTGGTGGTGGTGGGTTTGGTTTTGTTTTTGGAGACAGGGTTTCTCTGTGTAGCTTTGGAGGCTGTCCTGGAACTAGCTCTTGTAGACCAGGCTGGCCTCGAACTCACAGAGATCAGCCTGCCTCTGCCTCCCGAGTGCTGGGATTAAAGCCGTGTGCCACCAACGTCCCGCATTTTTGTAGGTTTTAAAAAAAATTTATGTTTCTGAGTAGTATACCTGAAAGTATGTATGCGCACTATGTGTGTGCAATACCTGCAGAAGCTAAAACAGGGCACTGGACGCTTGGAAAGGGACTGTGGATGAGGATCATAAGCCAACTATGTAGTGCTGAGAGCCCACTGCAGTCCTCTGAAAGAGCGACAGGCGCTCTTACTACTGAGCCATAGTTCTGTGTTTTGCTATCACGGTGCTAAGGATGGAACCCAAGTTTTCCATCATGCTAGTAAGGATACAGCCTCTCAGTGGGGGATTCTAGGCAGGAGGGTGGGGGCGTGCTCCACCCCTGACCACACTTCAAGGCCCTCCTCGCTGAGAGATTCTAAGAGGGGGCTCCACCCCTGGTCACACCCCGAGCTCCTCACTGGAGGATTCTAGACTTGCTCTGCCCCTGAGTTACTCTGCTCTCCCAACTCTGTAAATGGTGACAGCTCACGATCATGTTGAACAGTGTTGGTTCTGAAATCACTTCTACTTATCTCTCGCCATCTTCATGCCTGGCCCTCATCTCCAAAACACAGTTGAGATCCAAGGCCCTGTTTCCAAACTGCCCCCATTTTTTTGCCATCCTTTATTTGCTTCTTCTGGCTCTCCAGGCTCTGTCTAATGCACAGTAGCAGACTCAGTAATCTTGGAAATCTAGACTAGGAACATGAGGGGATCCCTGCAAGTATCACACAGGGAAAGAATGAAAACCCCAGTGCAGACTGACTTTGTCAACCTGGATCAGACTTCGGGAGATAATAACAGGTGGTTTATTCCCAACGTAAGTCCAGTATAATTTGAAAAAAGGTTTCCTGGTGTAATACAATCCCGTTGTACAAGAAAGCGTAATTACTGAAACACAACTTGGTACATGTCATTTCTTCCAAGAAGATGGGTTCTAGAGACAGAGTACTGTACTAGCTTAAGGGCCTAAGGATATAACCTAGTATGGTCCACACAGATAACATAGAGGTCATTTGGGCTATTAGCACCTCCAGTCTTGGTTGTAGGAGCTTGATGAGGCCTGGGCCCACAGATAACGCAGATCACTGGGCTACTAATCACTCCCAATTCCCAGCTTTCTGGATGGAAGAAGAGGTTTTTCATCATGCCTGGTTAACATTCCTGGTCTTGTGGGCACAAGGACCTTCATGTTATGCTCCCAACAAGAACATGAAATATAAATGTCATGCATGCCTTTAATCCCAGCACTTGGGATGCAGAGGCCGGTGAATCTCTGTGAGTTCTAGGCCAACCTGGGCTACACAGAAAAACACTGTTTCCAAAAGCAAAAAAGAAAAAAATGCCCTGACCAAGCACTTGTAGCTGACCTGGGGATGACTCCTGGGCCTACTTTGTCACCCCCTTGCTCTTCACAGACATTCAATTAAAGTCACCTTCACAGAATCAGCTCCTGGAGCTCAGCAAACTTCGGCCTCAGGACCTTTGTGTTCACTGTTTGGTTTCTGTTTCAGATCTTCATCTGGGAAGGCGTCTGTCTTGATCAGTGTCCTATCACTTCGAGGAGACCCCATGACCACTGCAACTCTGACTGGCCTAGAGTTTGCATCAATCCCCGTGCCTTAACTCCCAATTCCTGGGAACATGGATGTGTGCATACAACACAGCTGCCTGTCTTCCCTGTGTATGTGTGGCATACACACACATGTGAACTGGGATGTGTGTGCACGCAGAGTATTTGTGCAAAGCAGAGGGTGTTGAAGCCCTTCTCTGCCCCTGCCTTATCACTTCAGATAGTGTCCCTCACTACATTGGCAGCCAGCAGACCTCAGCCCCAAACAGTGCTAGGATTACAGGCACTCACGACCATGCCTGGCTTTTACGTGGTTGCTGGGGATTCAAACGCAGGTCCAAATGCTTTACCAGATGAGCCGTTTCTCCAGCTGCCATCTCTCGTCTTTTCCTCTGTGTTACTGGGTCTTGAACCCAAGACCACATAGGGGCCAGGCAGGTGCTGTGTCCTTGACCCCAGCCTCTTACATCTGGCTTGTCCAAGCAGCCCTGAGTGGGTTTTGTTAGGTTTGTGCTTAAATTAAAGGTTCACTCTATGGAACATACACCATGGAGAGCATAAAGAGTATATTAATCATGGAGTTCATTACAATAGGAGAGCAAGAAATAGAAGAACAGAGTAGGGCAGAGTAAGAGAGAGAGAAGTACAGAAAGAGCGTAAGAGAAGAGAGAAGCTGGGCGTTGGTGGCACACGCCTTTAATCACAGCACTCGGGAGGCAGAGGCAGGGGGATCTCTGTTTCGAGGCCAGCCTGGTCTCCAAAGCGAGTGCTAGGATAGGCTCCAAAGCTACACAGAGAAAAAAAAGCGCCCAAACCCACACAGAAAAACCCCGTCTCGGAAAAAAAAAAAAAAAAAAAAAAAACAGACAGCGTAAGTGGGTGTGGTCTGTCTTTTAAAGGGGTCCTTTACACCTGCATGCAGATTTAGTTCCCATGGAACCCTGGGCTGACCAGGGTACTGCCCGAGTGGATTCTGCCAGGTAACAGGGGCAGGCCAGCATAATGCCTGAATCTTTCAGGTTTCCTGTCTTCTGCCCTGTCTCTGACCCTGTGAACTTCCATCCACAGGATGCTTTCTTGGCTATTGTGTGAGACTTACAGCTTGACTTCATTTAAAATAGGTGGCATACACATGACTTAATCCCAGCACTGGGGAGGCAGAGGCAGGTGGATCTCTATGAGTTTGAGTCCAGCCTGGTCCACAAAGTGAATTCCAGGCCAGCTAGGGCTGTATACTGAAACTTTTGTTTCAAACAAACAAAAAATAAAGCAATAAGCCCCCAAGGCATAACAAGTAGACCTCAGTGAAACTACACAAGGAAACAGGCTATTAAATTGTAGATAAAGGGTCTGCAAGACAGGTCAGGGATTAAGAGCACTGGCATTTCCAATGTCTCGGATCACTTCCTGTTGCATACAAGTCAAGATGTAGGACACTCGGCTACTTCTCCAGCACCAGGTCTGCCTGCACGCCACGATATCCCACCGTGATGACAATGGACTAGACCTCTGAAACTGTAAGCCAGTCCCAATTAAACATTTTCCATATAAGAATTGCTGTGGTCACGGTGTCTCTTCACAGCAATGGAAACCCTACCTAAGACACTCTGAAATCTTCTCTTTTTCTGGACCCCATAGCTCCTGATTCTCTGAGTGTCCTCAAAAAGCCACTGCTAGGTTCTACCCAGTAGGTCACAAGGAGTCACTGAACATAGTGTGACGTAGCTTCAGCTGCACAGAGATTTGTTGACCCAGAACCACAGGGATGACAGGACAGGACCGTTGTCAATTTTCAGGTCTCATCCACCCCCTTGGTATTGTGTGGCCAGAGGGAGAAGGTGTCCTCAATACACTGGCCATGCCCTGCCTCTTCCACTTCCTGTGGAGGAGGTAAAGGCCTGCTAGTATTTTAAGAGCTAGCTTTATTATTTGTGTTGTGTGTGTGTGTGTGTACACATAAACACAGTTCCTGTGGAGGCCACAAGAGGGCGCTGCAACCCCAGGAGTTAACTGACAGTTGTGAGCTGCCTGTTTTGGGTGCTGGGAATGGAACTCAGATTTCCTTTGCGGGAAAATTATTCTTTTCTTCTTAATATTATTATTATTAATTAGTTATGTCTTTGAGCCAGGGACTCATGTAGTTCAGGCCTTGTACTCCCTGCGTAGCCTAAGATGATTTCATTCTCCCAGTGCCCAAGTCCTGCCTAGTGATCTTTACTGTCACACACTGGTTGTTGGTGTTTCTGACACCACAGCGTTTCACTCTTTAGTCCAGGCTGGCACAAACTTGTGATCCTCCTGCCTCACCTTCTCCTGTACTGGGTATGTGGATAGAATACGCGGGTCCTCTGAATCCCAAATCCAAGCCTGCCCAAGTCCTGGGAAGAGGTTTGCACATGTGGACCACTGGAGGGCAGCAGAGAACCCGCTGTCAGCGCCTGGTGCATGCATGTACTTAAATGTGTGCGTGCATGTGCGTGCCTGTCAACGCAGGGCATCAGGTGTCTTCCTCACTTTACCCAAGGGAACCCCTGCACCCCCGCCGTGCAGACTTCGGCAACCCCCCGTGTACCCCCACCCCACAGACCCGCCATTAAGTTGTTTTGGGTACCAAACTGCAGCCCTGGAGTCACACAGCCCCTGCCTTTATCTTCATTTCAGGGCCTCCCACTTACTCCCCTCAATGCTGCTCCATGTGGGTTCTGGGAATACGAACTGGTGTCCTCTTGCTTGCATGCAGAGGCCTGGCCCACATATGGGGGTTCAGGATGACACCCCAACTTCTCCTGACCATGGGGACACTGCTTTGGAGAAGCTAGAGGCAGTCCAGGCAAAGTACGGGAAAGAGAAAAGGGAGCCAGGACAATTGAAGATATGGTTCTGAGGTAGAGTGCAGCCCAGAATCCCCCAGTGAGGGGCTGGGGGCTAGTCAGGTGTTGCAGAGTATTTGTTTACAAAGATATGTTGCATTTGCTTATGTTGCAGAATATTTGTTTAACTACGTAAAGATGTATTACATTTAATTATGTAAAGATTGTTTGCTGTGTCATTTTGCCTGCCTAAGGCACCTGATTGACCTAATAAAAAGCTGTATATCCAATAGCAAGGGAAGAGGTGGTACTTCCAGAAAGGGAGTAAGGAGAAGGAATTTAGGCTCAGGGGAAGAAAGAAAAGAGATGCCAGGGAGGTGCCAGGGGTCAGCCAGACAAACATGAAGCAGCAAAGTGGGACACACAGAATGAAAGAAAGGTAAAAAGCCCCAAAGGCAAAACGTAGATGAACAGAAACAGGTTAAATTGAGAGATAGTGGGATAAGCCTAAGCTAAGGCTGAGCATTCTTACTTAATAAGTTTCTGTGTCTTTATTTGGGAACTGGTTGGCAGCTCAAAGAAAAGGGTGGAGCCCCTGCCTAGAATTCCAATGAGGGGCTGGTGACTGGTAAGGTGTGGAGCCCCTGCCTAGAATCCCACAGTGAGGAGCTGGGGGTATGATTAGGGGTAGAACCCAACCTAGAATCCCCCAGTCGGGGACTGGGGGTGTGGCCAGGGGTGGAATCATGCCTAGAATCCCCCAGTGAGGGGCTGGAAGCATGGTGAGGTGTTGGGATCCTGGAAGCTTAGTTTCAGACCAGTCTATGACTGCTTGTCCAATGGATCTTCACAAGGACAGTCTCACTCTGCAAGGACCAGGGGACTTGGGACATTGCAGAACACAGGTGGGACTGTGTGGCCTGCATGCTCTCTTCTTTCTCCTAATATTGATGATTCTCTTGGCAGTTTTAGTGTTGTTTTGTCAGTCATGTATTGGACAGAGGTGATCATTCCTGGAAGCCCCATTTTTTTTCTCAAATATTTTCCCCTCTGGGAGCTGATGCTTCTCAGGTTTCTTGTCTGGGGATGCCAGCTGTCACTTGAGACCTCAGGAGCTGATGTGGTTCAGGACTGACAGCATGAGAGGCAGATCACCCCTGTTTCCGTAAACATGTTTTGAAGAAGATTGTTGTTCTTGAAAATGTGTGCCAATGTCAATCATCTTTTAGTTTTTTATAGACAGGATGTACCTGGCCTGATATTTGCCCAATCTAGCAAAATGGTAAGTGTTGGTAAAAGTTGGGGGAAAAAAAACAAAATACATACTTGTTTTTGCCGGGGGTGGGGGGGTGGGGGAAGGGGTGGTCAACACTGGAGGATGGGAAAAACTTGTTTGTTAGGATATTTGGTCTATAAATAAAGATGGCTGGAGCTATTCAGGGTCAGCCACTTCTGTGAAACTCAACTGGTGGTTGGACAATTCATTTCTTCATGCCTATGTCTCAGGACCTGAACCCAGGCTGCAGCAGAATTTGGCATGGACGGGTGAAAGTCCCTTTGTATAGAATCTCCCAGTGAGGGTCTGGAGGCTTAGTCAGGACGGAGCCCCTACCTAGAATCCCCCAATGAGGGGCTGTAGTCATGGTCAGGTTTGGAAGGCCTGGTTGTTATGGACACTATCTGATCACTCTTTATATTTAACAGTTTATTGGGACAAGAGCCAACATGTAACACACATGGAGGTCAGAGATCCTTCACTGAAACCCCTGTGTGTCGGCTGTTTCTGAAAGTCTGTCGCTCTACATACTTGGGGTATTCTCTGACTCGTCCCTCACCCTCCTGGGGCGCAGCCACCGTGGCCGGAAACCCTGCAGCTCAGGGGAGTTGCAGATCCCCAGGCAGCTCTGGAACATCACGGAACAGAAGTTCTTGAAGCGCTGGCCCCTCTCCGTGTTCAGTTCCTTGGGAATGACATAGACCAGCCATATGCTCAGCAGCGTTGTCATGACAAGCAGCATGATGGTGAGCACGGGTGGGAACATCGCCATGGGTAAGGCCCCATACACGTACACGCTGAACATGGTGTCCAGACTGCAGTAGCTGCAGGCGACAGTGGGCACAGGCTGTCCTGGATTCTTACTCCTGTTCACACAGCCAGCTTCCTCTTGCATGTGGGTACTAAGAAGTGTGTTTTGTTTGTTTGTTTGCTTGCTTGCTTGCTTGCTTGCTTCGGTTTGGGAGTTTGTGGGGAGGGGGGCTAAGGACAATCACGTCAGCATTTGAAAGGAAAACATGGTGACAGGCCAACTGAACTTCAGCTGCTGCCAAGAGGAGAATGATGGGAGAGCCTCTGCAACCAGGCACACAGAGGACAAACAGTCTCAGCAAGGGGAGGGAATCTTTAGTGAAAGCCAGCAGCCCAGGGTGTCCAGGGGAAGCAAGGGGGAAGAGTGGGCCGAATCCCTGCCCTTCACATGGCTACAGCCTAAAGGCTGTTGCTGCTGTGTGACTTTTGACCCTGATCTCATGTAGCCCAGGCTGGCCTCGAACTAGTTATATAGCCGAGGATGTCCTTGAACTCTTGAGCCTCCTGTGTCAGTAGTCCAGACCCTCATTTCTGGGATGACAGACATGCACCCCCATACGTGGAATCTGCCAGATGTCTTGGACACAAAACTTGTGTCACCTCTCCTTGATATCCCCCAGCTGTAGTGTCCCCTCTACTCACCTGTAGTATGGATCCACCACAGACAGAAGGAAGGTATAGATTCCATTTCTTTGGCCAAAAATAACCCTATTGTCTGTCCGGCCACCTAAGATCTGATACTCAACCTCTGGCCATAGCAGGGGGTTGTTCTTGTTGTCCTCGTGGCAGCTGACATAGTTCTGAGGACAGGGACAGAGGGATGTCATTCCTGACGACCAAGACCCTCAAACCTCTGTCCATCACACAGGCCATGCCATCTCTTCCACTGAACTCCTAAGGAAACCCCTGTAGGTAGGGCCTTAGGCCTTCTAACCCCATCCCCAGCCTCCTCCTTCTGCTCTTCCTGGGACTCCTGGCAAGATATAGCCTAGGCTGGCTTCGAACTTGCCTTATCTTGGGTGCTCCAGCTCCACAGTGATGGGATAGCCAGGAGACACCAGAACAGTGTGGGTGGGATCCCACCTACCTCTCTGTTCCAGATGGATGCTTGGTCTATGCTGGCCACCTCTGTCTGAAAGGTACTCCAGTTCTGAGGCTGTGACCGGCAGTTTGCAGTGGCGGCCGTCAGGGAGTACGAATAGGTGACTATCCCATTGATCTCTGTGATCACATACTCGGCATTCATGATCTCTTCTAGAATCCCGTTCTTCCACCTGAGACACAAGATGAGGCAGCAGGGCTCCCTGGGAGGACACTGCTGGGGGGGGTCACCCTAATGGAAGACGTGGGGAAAGAATGGGGGAGAAGCAGAGAGGGAGGGGATCCAGCCACTGTGTACAAGAGCCCTCCCTGAAAGGGAGCCAAGGATCTTTGAGTAGAAACAAGTTTGCTATGTTGTGGGATTGGGTTTTGTTTGTTGTTTCTGTAGCCCAGGATAGCCTTGAACTTCTGATCCCCCTGTCTCCACTTCCCCACTGCTGGGATGACAGGTGTGCACCATGGTGCCTGGTTTACCGAGTGCTGGGAATGGGATCAGGGATTTCATGAAATAAAGCAAGCGCTCTACCGATTGGCCCTAGCAAATGGAAAGCGCACAGGCTACTTATCCCAGATAGATTTGGATGATGTCCATGGATATCATCCCAAGGATTGAAGCAACCCTGACATAGGAGGGTTGAACCAGCCATGACATCTAAATGCTGGACTAAGCTTCTTGTTTTCCGATTGAATTTGCCTCAGTAGCTGAGGATTGGAACAACCTGGACACACAGACATTAAGCCAACCTTGACAGGCAGAGGTTAGACTATGTGGGGAATGAGTGTACAGGCCTCAGGGATTTCACTGCTCCCTGAGCGATGCAACTTAAGGAGCAGGCACACAGCATTGCGGTTTCAACCTAGAGAGGACTTCAAGGCTGCAGAGAGTCTGGCAGTTCAGCCTGTGCTCGCAGTGCTTGGGGAGGTCAGGGATGGGGGGAGAGTTTGTGGCCAGCCTAGGCTATACGAGACACTGCCTTAAAGCTAAGTGACAAAAGCAGAATTGTGTTCCAAAGAGCCCCTAGTGATGGCAGTCCTCAACACCTCCAGATACTCAGGGGATGAACAGAATTTACTGACAGCTTCTGGGAACTGCGGAAGTTCTAGATCCAGAAGCTTTTGCCAGGGAGCTATACACACTGCCAAAATCCCTGTGTTTAGGGAAAAGTCTGAATAAGTTCAACATCCACACAACTTTTCCCCTTATTGTTTTTCGAGACAGGTTTTCTCTGTGTAGCCCTGACTGTCCTGGAACTCACTCTGTAGACCAGGCAGATCCTCCTGCCTCTGCCCTGAGTGCTGGGATTAAAGGTGAGCACCACTGGCCCCCACCTCAAGATAATCTCTTTAAAACAGAGTCTTTCTGTGTAGCCCAGACTAGCCTCAAACTCGAAATCTTTCTTCCTCAGCTTCCTGAGTGCTAGGATCACAGGTGTGTGCAACTGCACCTGTCTCTTGAGTGTCAATGAGTTTCTATGTGGCTCTCCCTTCATTATCATATCTGTCTGACAAACTCCTACTCATCCTTCAAAACCCCACAATCTCATGGAAACAGACATCGCTATGGTTGAGGACAGAGTGGGGAGAAAAGAGAATGAAGGGAAACAGTAGACTGCTTGGAAGGACTCAGAAGAAAAAAAAAAAAAACATAATCCAGGCGTAGTGGCACAAGAGATGCCAGCACTTGGAGGCCTGGGGCAGGAGTATGAAAAGTTCGAGGCCAGACTGGGCTTCATAGTGGGTTAGAGGTTGGCATAATATGAACAAAAAGAGAAGAGTCAGAGGGCTCACTGTGGATATCTGCAAGTCAGGCTGAGGCCTTTCTCACACCAAGACCTGGGCCCATGCCTCTTTAGCTTTGGACTCAGTAGCTGGGGCTGACTCAGGACAGACAGAGTGAGATGAGAAGGGGAGACTGTCCCAGGAGGAGGACATGGCTAGGGCAGGGCACCGGAGCAGCATGGAGCTTACACTTCCACCACAGGCTTCCACGGCTTGTCGTAGTAGACCAGACGAGGGCAGCCCAGCTCCTTGTACTGATAATATACCAGCAGGTCATTCTGGGCACGGGCATTGTGGTTTATTGGATCATATGCTTCCCTTTGAAGAGACAAGGAGCATGGTGATTAGAAGCCTATACCAACACCCAGGGCATTGTATTGTTCTTAAATCACAGGTTCCTGGATCTGACTCGGGTCCTGGCAGCTGCAGAGCAAACTTTGCTGAGCCCTCCCTACCAGGACTGACCTGTAAAGACGCTTTTCAGATTTATATTTATGTGTATGACTGCTTTGCCTGCATGTGTTTCTGTACACCACGTGTGTGTGTGTGTGTGTGTGTGTGTGTGTGTGTGTGTGTGTGTGTGTGTTTTGAGTATCTGTTTGTGTCTGTGTTCATGTGTGTGTCTGTCTGTAAGTGTTTAGTATCTGTTTCTGTCTGTATGTGTGTTTGTGTCTGTTTCTATGTGTTTATGTTTATGTCTGTATGTTTGTGTGCCTGTGTATCTGTGTGTGTTTCTGTGTATTTGTTTGTGTGTCTGTATGTACGTGTGTGTGTGTGTGCCTTTTTTAAAAAGATTTTGTTTGTTTGTTTATTTATCATGTATACAACATTCTGCTTCCATGTATATCTGCACACCAGAAGAGGGCACCAGATCTCATAACGGATCATTGTGAGCCACCATGTGGTTGCTGGGAATTGAACTCAGGACCTCTAGAAGAGCAGTCAGTGCTCTTAACCTCTGAGCCATCTCTCCAGCCCCGTGTGTGTGCGTGCGTGCGCGCGCCTTTTTAGTCAATGCATTTTAAGCCAACCTCAAGTGTCTCCTGAGAGGGGACCACAGCTAATCCACTGACAGCCTCACAAAGACCAAACTGAACCCATCCCAGCTTCCTCCTCTCAGACCCATGTGTGATTAGGAATCCTTGGACAAACGGCTTTGGGAGTCACACCGAGATGGCCCAGGAGTGGGGAAGGGACACTGTGGGTAAAGGCACTTGCCACCCAGCTGGTGACCAGAGTTCACTCTCTGGGATCCACATGCTGAAAGGAAAGAGTAACACCCATAAATTGTCCTCTGCCCACCACATGCCACTTTAAATGAATGAATAAATAAATGAAATGAAATCAAAATGCTTTTAAAAAGCATTCATTTAGACAGGGTTCTTCTCTCTCTAAGTCTACCTCTGCCTTTACCTCCCCCACCCTCAGGGGAGAATATCAGTTCTGAGCAAGCAGTGGACACTAAAATCCACAGATGTGTAAACAATGGTGTGAGCAGGGCCTGTTGGTCCACATCTGTCCTTCCAACTACTCAGGAGGCTGAGGCAGGAGGACTGTTGAGCGTCAGACCCTGTCTCACAAAAAAAGAATAAGAAAACAGGCTGGAGGTGTGGTCAGGGGTGGAGCCCTTGACTAGAACCCCTCAGTAAGGGGCTGAGGCATGGTCAGGGGTGGAGCTCCCACCTAGAAATTACTAAGACTAAGTGTGTTTGGTATTACATCAGAAAAAAAGCCTTGTGCTGCCTCCCTGAGTGACAGACTGCCACAAACCCTGCAGCACTAATGCTGCCCTTGACTCGGTGCTAGTTAGTTTCATTAGTCAATTTGATACGAAACAGGGTCATCTGGGAAGGGGGAATGTCAGGTAAGAAAATGCCTTCATAAGATCAGGTTTGTAGGCCTGAGTTCAAGGCCAGCCTGGCCTACACAACGAGTGCCAGGAGAGGCTCCAAAGCTACACAGAGAAATCCTGTCTTGGGGGGGAGGGGGAGACCAGGCTGTAAGTAAGCCTGTAAAGTAATTTTTAATTAGCGACTGGGAAGGCCCAGCCCACTGTGGGTGGGGCCTAACCCTCGTCCGGTGGTTGTGGGTTCTATAAGAAAACAGGCTGAGCAAGCCATAGGAAACAAGCCATTAAGCAGCACCCTCCATGGCCTCTGTCTCAGCTCCTGCCTCAACTTCCTGGATAATGGACCACAAATGTATGTAAGCCGAAACAAACCCTTTCTTCTCCAAGTTGCTCTTGGTCATAGTATTTCATCACATCAGTAGAAATTCTAAGATAAACTTGGTACCAGGGGTCGGATATTGCTTTGACAGACAGGACGATGTTATTTTGGGGAGGATTGTGGAAGGAGTCTGGAACTTTGGGCTGGAAAAGTCATTGAGCGATAAGAGCTCAGAAAGCTGTTGTGAGATCTTAAAAAATAGGAGTGTTGAAAGAAGTGCAGATGACAGAGACCTGGCTTGTGGAGTTCCAGAGGAAAATTTGAGAGTCCCTCAAAGATTATTAGGGCTCTTCATTTGACATTTTGTATTAAGAATCTCTGATTTGTGACTGGGCATGGTGGCACATGCTTTTAATGCTAGCACTGGGGAGGCAGAGGCAGGTGGATCTCTGTGAGTTTGAGGCCAGCCTGGTCTACAGAGCGAGTCCCAGGACAGCCAGGACTACACAGAGAGAGACCATGTCTGAAAAAAAGTCCAAAACAAAGATTTCCTGCTTCTGCTCAGCTGGGGCTGCAGAATCGGCTGTGATGGAGAAGAGACCAGCGTCACTGAGGTGAAATCTTCTGGGAATTGTTTCCTGAGAGTCAGAACAGAAGCTATGTGCCGAAAAGCCCAAGGTTGTAATGCACCTCATGCTGGCAGCAGGACTTGGTAATATGTAAGCATCGCCCAGGTAGTGCTGGTTTTAAAGGCATGAGGGAGTCAAGGAGAGCAGCTGAGGCCTGGCAGTGTGAGAGGCCAGGAGAGCTCATTGGTAAAAGCACAGCCTCAGTTAGGAGACTGTGGTGATATCTTGCTTGTACTCTTAACAAAGATTTCCTGACAATCAGAGGGTGGAGCTAGCCACTAGTTATCCACAGACATCTGGATGTCTGTACAGACAGAGGGGAAGTGATATGGCTGGATGGAGAGAGGAATATATGCTAGGAGGAGACAGGAGCTTGGTCTCTTTTATGTCTGAGGATTTCATAGAGGTAAGAGCTCTAGTGGCTGCTGCTCTGCTTCTCTGATCTTTCAGCTTTCACCCCCTAAATCGGACTCTGGGTTTTTACTATTAAGATCAATTAGAACTCGTGCTCCAGGAGACCTCAGCATGTCGGAGATGCCAGGATTCTGGGCGACCATTGAGGACAGCAGCAGGTGTGGGGTGGAGCCAGCCTGAGTCTAGAACAGAAGCTATATCTGCTGCAGAGTGCAGAGCTGGAAAAGTGGACCTGGGAGTGGTGTCTGGAGCTCAGTGTTATGAGTGAGTTCCAGGTGTGGGACGACACTGAGCCACAGGACTTGATTTTCCCTTGATCATCAACAGTATCCTGGTTTTTCCCTCTTGGAGTAGGAAAATACTTAATTTGTAGTTTTTGTTTTATTGGGGTCCATGGTTGAGGGACTTTAGACTTTTAGGGAGACATTGGATATATTTCAAGAAACTGAATTTTTTAAGTGTTTGAATTTCTAAAGATTGGGGCTGTATTTTTAAATATGACTTTTTTTTTTGCAACAGAGTTTCTCTGACTGTCCTGGAACTCACTTTGTAAACCAGGTTGGCCTTGAACTCACTGAGATCCCACCTGCCTCTACCTCCCAAGTGCTGGGATTAAAGGTATGTGCCACTAACATCTGGCTTTAAATATGATATTAATATTAACATGAGCCATTGGGAACCAACATAAAAGAAAAGGCTATGGGTTAATACTGATGTACTTGTGTATCAAGAGATCAAATATCCTGTTTTTGTTTTTGTTTTTTTTTTTTTTTTTTTGGTTTGGTTTTTGTTTTTGGAGACAGGTTTTCTCTGTGGCTTTGGAGGCTGTCCTGGAACTAACTCTTGTAGACCAGGCTGGTCTCGAACTCACAGAGATCCACCTGCCTCTGCCTCCCAAGTGCTGGGATTAAAGGTGTGCACCACCAACGCCCGGCTTGGTTTGGTTTTTCAAGACAGGGTTTCCTTGTGTAGCTCTGGCTGTCCTGGAACTAGCTCTGTAGACCAGGCTGACCTAGAACTTACAGAGATCCACCTGCCTCTGCCTCCTGAGTGCACCACCACCACCTGACTCCTTTGTTTTGTTTTGTTTTGTTTTGTTTTTGGCAAGCTTATACAAGCTAGGGTTATCTGTGAAGAGGGAATCTCAGTTGAGAAAATGACTGTGGTGTATTTTCTGGGTTAGTGATTGATGTAGGAGGCCCAGCTCACTGCCAAGGGTGCCACTCCTGGGCAGCTGGTCTTGAGTTACTTAAGGAAACAAAGCATGCAAGCCACGGAGAGCAAGACTGTAAGCTGTGTTCCTCCATGGCCTCTACAGGGTCATGATGTCTTATCATAGTAATGCAAAGTTAGTAAGACAACTTAGGGCCAGGATTGAGGCCTGGCTGTGACTCCAAGTACCACATCAAATAAAGGAGAGGCCTTGCAATGGGCTCTAGTGTCTGGCACAAAGTGACTGCCATGGACCATGAGAAATACAGCAGGATAACTTATACTCAACAGGCCAACCTACCACATGAGTGACAAGGGAGCTCCTCCTGGCAAAGCCATGGAGTCTCTGGCTGTGGAAATCAGTTTCTCCTGTCTATAAGTTCTCTCAGGAGTCACTTCATCTCTTCCTTTAGGAATAACTTTGGGTGTTTCCACTGCTTGTGTGTGTCTATCTCGTGAAAATATTCCCTATCTACTGGGCACGTGTATCTGTGGGAAGTCAGGAGGATGACTTTTTGTTTGTCTGTATCATCTTGATATATAGAATACATGCTGGGTGCCTTGTAGTCTCAAAAAGCCCCAGAGAAAGAAATTTCTTCTCACTCAGACATTAGAGGTAAGAGCACCCCTCTGCTGACCCTGAGGCTGGAAGCAGTCACCTCTGGATCTTATGCTACATAGCCTTAGTTTTTCCCTTTGCTCTAGCACTGAGAATTTCCCTTTAGTCCACTAACACTTGGTCAAGTGCTAATGAGGATCAAATGCCACCCATTTTCCTTCCACAGCTTATGCTGGTTGCCATGGTTACCACAAACCTGTGTTCCCAGCTGCTGCCAAAGGAAGGGGAAGAAAGTGCTCAGAGAGTGCATAGCAATGCCGAATTTTCTTCCTATTCCCTACATTTATCAGTTACAAACTTCTAGCTTAACTAGCCACACCAATGTTGTTTTACATACTAACACCCTTCCCCCCATTACAAATCATAGCCCCTTCCTCCATCGACCCTTTTCAGATATGCCAGATGCTTCACAGCCACACCCCCACTGAGATATTAGCAAGATAACAGGCGACCACTTGGTCAGCCTTTTCACTCTTCTTGGCCCTGTGGATGTGTGGGAATACAAACTGGAGATCTTGTGGGATCTGGGAGAATTTTGAAAAAATAAAGAGACAGGATGAGAAGAATATATGTATTGTTTACCCTCAGATTCCCTTAATAATATTCTGCACTTCCTTAGCATCCTGTCTGGACCCTGAGAGGACACTGAGGGTGGCACTCGGATGTCCTTGATAGATGGCTTCTCGTACGCCACTATGTCCGCCTAGCTCCTGTGGCTGAATGGTCCCCCTGGGCCAGACACCAGTTTTAAATCATTCCTCCTCATTCTCTGGGGTTCTATCCCTAGTGTGTGGAGGGCTGGGAGGTGGGCAGCACACCACTTACTTCTCAATGATGTAAGTGTAGTTTCCCTGCAGCTCCACGGGGTTGAGGATTCCCATGGAACAGGCGGAGATTTTGCTGTAATGGAGAGAAGTGAGGAGACCTGAAGAGGGACTGGACACCCAGGAACTGAACGTTGGTAGGAGGAGGGACACAGGAAGGGGCGCACCTCACCCGGGAGGCTAGGAGGGTGGGACACCTGCCCCAGCTGTGGAGGGTGTGGGCCTGGAATAACCTTAGGGAAGGTTCCAAACCCTGTGTAAATTATAACCTGTGGCTGCAGAGGTGACTCACATGGGGGACGGACTCACAACTTGGTGTAATGCCAGTACCGAGGGATCTGATGCTTCTGGACTGTGAAAGAACTTTCACATTCACATTCACACACCCACACACCCTCACCCACACATCACACGCGCGCGCGCGCGCACACACACACACACACACACACACACACACACACCCCTATTCACACAGTCACCCACACAGACACTATCACACACTAACACATACACTCAGACACTCTCACAGACATTCACACACACACACACACACACCTATTCACACAGTCACTTACCCACACAGACACTATCACATACTAACACACACATTCACTCTCACAGACATTCATACACACACACACATACACACATACACACTCACACACACAATAAAAACAGTCTTTAACACAAGAAAGAGCAAATCATCATAGAAAGGTCAAGGAATCTCCATACTAGCAAACTCACGGGCACATACACTATCGCTCCAGAGCATGGCACTGCTACCTCCATGTGTGGCCAACCAATCACCTCTTGGCTCAGGATGGGCTGCTTCCAGGAATTTGTGGTTTTCAGTGTTTTGATTTGTAATAGAACTGTCAATTACATGCAGAATTTTGTGTTTTTTGATATTTAAATTTAACATTTAGTAACATGTAATTTGAACTTAATATCTCAGTGTTTGAATGTCTATTTATTTTTTGTGCTCAAGTGTTTTGCCTGCATGTCTGTCTGAGCACCTTGTATGTGCAGTGCCCACAGAAATCAGATGAGGGCATCGGGTCCCCTGGACCTGGAGTTACAGACAGTTGTGAGCCATCATGCAAGAGCAGCTGTTTCTCTAATAGCTGAGTCTTCCCTCCAGGCCCCGAATTCCCTGTTACAGAGCTGCTAAACATACACAAAAATAGATGGCTGGAATAATGTCACCTCACTACAGTGATTATGCCGGCCCCACCCTGCCTCCCCTGGGGCTGTCACACTCACTTCTGCACAAGAATCTTCTTGGTCTGGTCACAGCCCACTGAGATGAGCGTGGACTGCAAGGAACAGAGGCAGAGAGACTGTCACATACTCCATGAAGAGCTGCTGTCAGCCCTGCTGCTGTGGAATGCTATCTGGGACACATCCCCAAGCCTGATCCTGACACAGTGGTTCTCAGTGCCATGTCTTATCTTCCCAAATCTAAGCTCTGTCCTCAGCAAACACCTAACTCTTTATCTCCTCTCCTCCAAAGTACACAGTCCTACACACTGTAATTGTGTGTAAGAACTGCATTCCTTTTCCTGGCTGAGTAGTAGCCAACCGAATGGATGGGGCCACATTCTCTTTATCCATTTGTCAATTTTCCACTGCCACCCATGGTGAATAACACAGCTGAGAATGATGTACCCACACATTTTTATGTGCAGGCACCTCATTGTCAAGTCTCTGGAAGCACCCAGAACAGTGGTTCTCAATCTATGGGTTGCAACCCCTATGGGGGTCAAACAACCCTTTTTACAGGGGTCACCTAAGACCACCAGAAAACACAGATTATTTATATTATGAATCATAGCAGTAGCAAAATTACAATTATGAAGTAGCAATGAAAATAATTGTGTGGTTGGGGGGTCACCACAACATGAGGAACTTTATTAAAGGGGTGCAGCAACAGGGAGGTTGGGAGCCACTGCTCTGGAAGTTCTATTTCCTCAAATTGGCAAGAATAATTATAGAGATGCCCAGTAAGAAACAGCACTTCCGGCCGGGTGTTGGTGGTGCATGCCTTTAATCCCAGCACTCGGGAGGCAGAGGCAGGTAGATCTCTGAGTTCGAGGTCAGTCTGGTCTCCAGAGCAAGTGCCAGGATAGGCTCCAACACTACACAGAGAAACCCTGTCTCAAAAAACAGAAAGAAAGAAAGAATGAAAGAAAGAAAGAAAGAAAGAAAGAAAGAAAGAGCACTTCCCCTGGAGGATTCTGAAGGACCCCTCCCCCCCAGATGGCAACAGTGGCCCCAGCAATCAGGACAATAGCACTATTATTTTATTTCCAAACCAGATCCTGTCCAGCATGGTGGGACTGGCTTCCGTGACTCAGCACATGAACAAATGTCAGGCAGCAAATATCTGCACATACCAGGGGCTTCAGATCCACGCATGCAATTGTCTTGTCAGCTATGTCCACAGTTACAGAAGAGATGGCATTGCGCTTGATGCTACAATGCAACAGGGATGAGAGGTCTGAGTTACAATGAGCACTGGTATGCTCGTCAGAACCCTTCCCCTCCTGCCAACAGTCCATCTGCACACACCAGGATCTGCCCAACCTCTGCCATCCACCTGCCGGCATCTGCCATGGCTACTCTTGGTTGTCAACTTGGCACAGCCAGAAAGAGGGAACTCCAACTGAGATTTTTGCCCCATCAGGTTGGCCTGTGGGACATTGACTTGGTTAGTGGTTGATGTGGGAAGCTCCAGCAGCGAGGTCCTTGGTTGTATAAGAAAGCATCCGGGCTGGAGATAGCTCAGCCATCAGGCTTGGCTCACAATCAAAATTATAAGAAAGCAGGCTGAGTGCTGGGCCATGGTGGTGCATGCCTTAAATTCCAGCACTCAGGAGGAGGTAGACAGGTGGATCTCTGTTGAGTTCAAAGCCACTCTGGTCTACTGAGTGAGTTCCAGGATAGCTAGGGCTTTTACATGGAGAAACTGCCCTGGTATCTGGGAAACTAGCACTGATTGCTGGGAAACCAGCATGAGACTGATCCAGACCCCCTGAATGTGGGTGTCAGTGAGGAGACCTTGAAAATCTATGGGGCCTCTTGTAGTGGATCAGTACTTATCCCTAGCATAGGAATGGACTTTGGGAGCCCATCCCACATGGAGGGATACTCCCTGAGCCTAGACACAAGGGGGTTGGCCTAGGCCCTATTCCAAAGAATATGACAGACTTTGAAGATCCCCTATGGAAGGCCTCACCTTCCCTGGGAAGCAGGAAGTGTATGGGATAGGTAGGGCATTAGTTGGGGGGCAGGGGAGGAGGGGAGGGAGAAGGACCTGGGATTGATATGTAAAATAATTTTCTTACTAATAAAAAAATAGAAAAAAAACTAAAGTTGAACTCATGTTCAACTAAGCCTTTCTTAAGACTTAAATAATAATAATAATAATAATAATAACAATAATAATAATAATAATAAATTAAAAAAGAAAAAAAGAAAAGAAACTGCCTCAGACAAACAAAATAAAACAAGAAACCCGAGCAAAAACAAACAAAACAAAACAAAACAAAAAGCAGGCTGAGCCACCAGGAGCAGCCAGGAAGCAGCCAGGAAGCAGCACTCCTCCAAGGTCTCTGCATCAGTTCCTTCCTCTGCTTCTCTTGGAAATGGATTGTGATCAGCCCTTGTCAGTCAAATAAACCCTTTCCTTTCCAAGCTCCTTTTTGTCATGGTGTTTACAACATCAGAAAACAGGCTAGGACACCACACGGACACAGACACGGAGGCGCACACACTCATCACCCAGGCTGGTTTCCAACTCCCTGACTCCCTAAATGATAGCTGAGGCTGACTTTGAACTCTTGACCTTACTGCCCCCACTTTTTCGGAGCTGAGATCACAGTCATGTGCTGCTGCACTCAGGACCTGAGGTGCTGGGCCTGGAGCCCAGGAGCTGCATGCTCCCTGGATGAGTGTTCCTCCAGTGAGGTCCAATGTAGAACTTTAGACTAATATTGTCCCAATGTTCTGAAAGTAGGGTTGCCCCACTTTTCCCACTGTGGGCCTAGGAATCCCTGCAGACAGCAGTGGGGAGCAGCCTTAAGCCCGAGAACTCATCAGATACCTGGCGGTGAAATTGGTGTCCGCGATGCCCCAGTGATGCTGTTGCTGGAGTTCAATTTCCTGTGGAATGGCAGCAGGGACAGACAGACAGACACACTGAGAGACAGCCAGTTACAGTTACAGCAGAGGTCAGCATAGGTGTCACCCCCAAATGGGACAGGGCTAGTAAGAGAAGGGTGACTGATGGTACTGTGGGACCTTGTCCGTTGCTGTCCAGCCCCACTATGTCATATTTCTATGTCATAGGAAACCTTTCTGCAAGTTCTCAGAGGTGAGGGGCTCATGGCCCTTGTGACACCAACCCTTACTGTCCCCCATGAGCTGCAACTTTGTCTCCCCCCTCACTAATATTTAATGTCCCAAGGAGTTGCCTGAAGTGTGGGCTTGGCTGCTAAGGTGACATCATATAGACTAGCCACGTGTTCCTAGGCAACACAGGCAAGCCCTGTCATGAACCTGAGTTTGACAGATGCAAGGGGACAACTGGACCCCCACCTGGTCCCTGGCTGGAACCCAGCCCTCTACCAAGGTTCTCCCAGATAACTCACTCTCATCCTTCCTGTGTCTGGGGCACCCTAGCCTCTCCTGTGTGACAGGGCATGTGTGTGTGGGTGGCAGCTGCCTGTCTTACTCAGGGCAGATGAGTCGGGGCTGTGCAGGAAGGGAGGAGGGAAGCTGATCCCTTCAGAGCACAAAGAAGATGCTGCATGGAGGGTCAGGCAGAATGGCACCTTCCCACCATCCAACCCTTAAGAAGCCAAGGTGGGATAACATATTCCATGGCTGCCCTGGCCTACAGAGGGACACCGTGTCTCATTCACATAAAACAAAACAAACAATGTTATTGGGTCTTGGTAAAGACCCCTGACACGGCCACAGACACATACCAGTTTGTACTTATAGTTGCCGTCGAACGTGTTACCAAACTCAGTGATGTGTGCCTCAAACCCCAGGGAGTGGGGGTTGCTGACCATCACCTAAGATATAACACACAGACAGTTGTCACCTTGTGACAGACACCAAGGAGAACCCTGTCCATCCTCAGCACAGCCAACCTGCTTTTACACACAAGCTCCTGGTTGCAGCACCCCCACCTGGAGTATCTGCAACCTGTCAGTTGAAGCCTTAGAGCCCGAGGCCACTGAGCTGTGAGGCACAGAAGGATGGCATGGACAAGAGGGAGAGTGTGGGGGTGTTGGACGAACCCTGGGTGGGAGGAGGAAGAGACCAAGATGGAGGAGAAGAGGGTGGAGGAGGAGATGGAACAGATGGAGGAGGCGATAGAAGGATGAGATGGAGGAGGAGGAGTTGGGGGAGGAGAAGGCTAAGGGACTAAGGAAGGAAGAGGGAGAAAAGGAGGAAGAAAAATGGGAGGAATGCAGGCAAAGAGAGAAGACAGGATGTTTGGTTGAACGTGAACTTCTGGGGTTGTGGGCTGGCAGCACTGTGGAGTGTGGAGCCTTTGGGCCAGCCCAGTGTGTCCTCGTGCGGTCCAGGTTGGAGGATGCAGGCTGGGTCTACACTCACCAGTGGGATGGGGGTCTTGCCGGGCCGAGGTATCATAAGTGCAGACAGGTCCAGCTTGCTGTTCATGTCTATGGTGAACATCTGATTTACCATGTTGCTTTCCAGAAGCTCCACCTGGGGAAGGTGGTGGGAAATCAGCGAAGGCCGTTTCCGCCCTGTCTCCAGAAGCAAGGGACAAGTGGGCGGTGCTGCATCTTAGGCACAGACTCATCCTCACACGGAGAGCCACAGGTAGACCCTGGGTCCCCAGAGCACTCATGCAGACAAGCATCCCCACTACCCTTTTCCAGGAACTGAGTTCTTCCAGAATATTTTTTTTTTGTCTGTTTCTTGCTGAGTTGCACGGGCTTGAGTGGAATTTGAAATCCTTTTACTGAAACCTCCCAAGAAACTAGAAGGACAGTCCTCTACTTCTACCTCACTGAAATTTTTTCCTTCAGCTTCCCCCGTTCTAAAAGCAGAGATGGGTGCAGGGAGTGGCTTACTGGAATGTGATTCCTCTCCATTGTATGAGGTCCTAGGTAGCATCCGCAGTGCCACCAGCTACCCACACTGGAAATAACCACACAAGTCACCAGGAATTGACTTAGATCACAGGGGGTCACCTACATTGCACTGTTCCATCTCAAATTTGGGGTTCATGAGAACAGCCTGCACGTTCACAATGCACTTCTTAAAGTCAAACAACGGGAACTGAGGGTCTGCCACCATTATGAGGATCTCCAGCATGCCAGTGTCCGTAAAGGAGATGCTTGTATCTTCAATCTGTAGAGACATCTTCGACAGCTACGGGGAAACCCAGCTCTGAGGCCCAACCTTCGCCTTCCTTCTTTCCTTTTCATTTTGTTTCTTTCTACAAGGTCTTGCTCGGCAGCCCCCGCTGGCCTCACAAACACAGCAATCCTGCTGTCTCAAGCCTCCCGACAACTGGGGCTGGCATGTAGACTCAGCACCGCATGCCCAGCCTACTACTTTAAGAAACAAAAATGTTGTTATATTTATTTATTTGTTGTGTGAGTGCACACAGGGTGGAGGAGGTGGGAAGACAACCTGGCAGTTCTCTCCCTCCACCATGTGGATCCCAGGGATCGAACTTAGGTCTTTAGGTTTGGTGGGGGAGGGGGTGCTGTGATCTCTCCACACCCCCACCCCCACCCCCAGGCTCTTCAGCCCCCCTCCAATCAAGCCTGGTTGCTATGTGTGTTTTGAATATAATGCTGCTGGGGATGGAGCCTCAGCCACATCAAGCACCCATTCTCTTGGGAGGGACAAGCCAGTCACTTCATATGCATATATTTCACTGTTTTTCTTTGTTCTGTTTTGTGGTTCTGGTGCTTTGAACCTGGGACCTGGTCCTAATTAATTTGCTTGTAAGGATAACTGTATGGGTAGTTCACAGTGGGTAGAGCGCTTGCCTGACATGCACAATCCTGGATTCTATGTGCAGAATCCCCCAAAACTGGGCATGGTGGTGCCTGCCTGCCATTGGAGCACTCTGCAAGGATCAGGACAACACCGTTATCCTTGGCTTTAAAAGAAGTTCAAGTTCAGCCTTAGCTACACGAGGCCTTGCCTCAAAATAAAATGACATTTCACTAGTGTGATGCTTAGGTTTCAACGAGGGGCAGGGGCCTAAGAAGGAAGGTTCCCATTGCAGCTGTTGGCTGAGGACTCAGACACACCTGGATTACGGAGGTTCCCAGGTAACCCTGACTCCCGTAATACAGTTGGTTATCCTTCGTCAGCAGAGCCAGCTCATAAGTATCTGGGAAAGAGAAAGCAAAAGCAGAGATGAGGTCAGGTGCCAGGAAAGGTGCAAAGCAAAGGGGCCAGTGAAAGTGTAGAGGTGCTTGCTGCCAAGCCTGAAGACCTAAGTTTGATTCCTGGGACCCACACAGTGGCTCCTCTGACCTCCACACACTCACCGAGGCACGCAGGCAAACATCCTCACACCCACAGCTGCAAGAAGTAAGCAGGAATAAGAAACAAACAAGAAAAGACAAAAATCAGTCATCCCTCACCGCAACCCCACCAAGCGTCAGGGTTCGCAGGCCAATCACAGCTGAGCTGAGGCGTAGGAGGGAGCCTGACTCAGTCACGGGTGGGGGATGGGAGGCAGGAAGGCTGAAGTGAGGCAAGAGGGTTGATAAAAAGCAAGCCCAAGACAAGTGGGCCACATACTTGAAGCAACGCTGTGGATGGAGATGCCAGTGGAGGAGATATCCGAGGTGAGACGCCTCTGCCCTTTCCACAGCTGCACGGTGTCCATGATCTGGCCTAGGAGGGGACAGGCAGACGGTGATGACGCGTGTCCCTCGCACGCGCACCGTGTCGATGGACCCGGGATGGGGGGCCTCCCTGCACAGCTCCCACACCTCTCCTCTGCATTCACTGGGTTCTTATGGCTTGCCTTTGGTTTGCTATTCAAAAGCCCAAGGAGAGAAACTCGGCAGACACCTGGGGAAAGGCGACCCCTCTGAGTCTCTTTGGTAATGGAGCTCTGAAAAGTGACCCGATGTTGTCAAGGAAACTAAAACCTAGGAGTGGAGCATCAACCAGGAGGTTGCGGCAAGAGGAACCAGACTTCCTAGGCTTGTCTGGGATACAGAATGGCCTCAAGGCTAGCGTGGTAAACTTAGAGTCCACATCAAATTGACTAAGAGGTGGATGCGGGTGTGGGAGGGTGAGGGGGTGGGGGGCAGTCAGGAGAGGAGCCCCACCGAGAATACCCCAGTGAGGGGGGCTGGGGGCATGGTCAGGGTCGAGGGAGCCTGCTTAGAATTCCCCAGTACAGGCCAGCCTTCAGACCTTCAGCGCCTCTTCAGCACCTCTCTGAAAGTCTAGCTCAGCTTGTAACCCTGGCAATAAGAAGGCACATCAGCAGGGTCCCTGGGACTTGATCAGTCCCAGGTTGGGTGAAGTTAATATTTTTTTAAAGTAAATGAAAATAATTGAGCCTCTGGCCTCCACGTGCACATGACCATACACAAAGATCTGGGGTCCCTAGTCCAAACCCATCCCCACTGGTGGAGGGAGGCCTGTAGAGAGTGCAGCTCACCTGCGTTGGGGGACACCAACAGGCTTAGCTGACCCCAGAGGACCAGAAATCCTCTGTGGCCTGTCTTGATGATGACGTCAAGATATTCCTTGTACTGAAAGGGTATCCCTGCACTGTTGTTCAGGGGGTGCTCCAAGTAATGAAACATACCCTGAGATAAGAGAGGCAACCGAGTTACACTGGCAGATCCACTGGGACAGTCCTGTCCCGTTCAGCCTGCATCCTGAAGAGGTATTAAGGCAGGCATTTCTTAAGTCAGGGAGGTAGCCATCAGGTCTGGGGTACTCCAGGGACGGTGTTGGGAGAGGCCAAGGACATTGCCCAATCCCCAGTCCTTCCCAGGATGCCCCAGAGAGCGGCTCCTACAGAGAGGCCTTCCCCAATATCTAGGGGGAAAGTAATGGAGACTGGTTTTGTTTTGTTTTGTTTTGTTTTTTAAGGCTTAAAAATATTACTGATATATATATATATGTGTGTGTGTGTGTGTGTGTGTGTGTGTGTGTGGGGGGGGGGGGGGGGCAGGTGGGGGGGGGGGGGGGGTGTCCAAAGGCTCTGGATCCCCTGAAGCTGGAGTTGCAGGTCACATAGTATAGATCCTGAGAACTGAATTAGGACCTCTTCAAGGTTGGGAATCAATGGTAACTGCTGAGCCACCTCTCCAGGCCCTGATGGTTAGTCAGGGGGACACAGGCCTCCAGGCACTCCTGGGAGAGAGTACTTGGCCTCTGGGTATGAGTGGGAGAGTGTTGATCAGGTTAACTGAGGTAGTAAGACCCAGCCACTGTGGGCAGCCCCGTTCCCTAGGTAGGGCATCTAAGAAAGCTGAGCAGGAAGGAGCCAGCAACTGCATCCTTACATGCTTCTGCCCTAAGTTTCTGACCCGACTGTTCTTGGTGAGAGGCTGCCGAGGTCACACTGCAGGGATGAGTTATTTTAATTTACATGTAAACCTTTATGTCTGTGTGAGTATCTGTCACACATGTTTGCCTATCTAAAGACACTAGATAGACATAAGACAGACCCAGATCCCATGGACCTGGAGTTATAGATGGCTGTGAGAGGCTGAACATGGCTGCTGGTAACAGGGTCTTATTATGTAGATCAGCCTGGCCTTGAACTCACAGATCTGTCTGTCTCTGCCTCCGGATGTGTGTGCCACCATGGCTTGTTCCCTGCCTTGTTCTTTTTTAGACAGAGTCTCACTGCCATGGAATTCATCAAATAGACCAGGCTGATAGTCTCAAAGGCCCTGGGGATACCCCTGCCTCCATGTCTCATGCTCTGGCATGTTCAGTGCAAGTCATCACTGTTAGTATCCAGGCATCTGTACTGCCTGTCCTTGGGGTTCGGACAGGATACGCCCTCAGCTGCAGCCACTAAGAGCACCCACCTGTGCATATTCACTGGGTTCCCTTAAAAAAGACCCTGCCCACCTCCCATCCTTCTCTCTTTCTTTCTCTCCCTCTCTCTTTTCTCTCTCCTCTCTCCTGCTGCTCCAGTCTCTGGAGGCTGGTCTCCTTACTTCCCTTTCCTCTTTTTATGATTCCTTTCCTTAATTAAAACAAAACAAAACAAAAAACCCTCTGCTTGAACCCTGTTGCATGGCATCTTTCTCTAGAGAGCTGCTTTTCTTACATTACAACAACCACACTTGGCTTTTTTTATGGGTTCTGGAGGATGCAACTTGGGTCCTCATGCTTACATGCTGAGCATTTTGCTGACTGAGCCCAGGTATAGAGTTTAAAGACCACTACTGGTCAGGCATTGGTGGCGCACACCTTTAATCCCAGCACTCGAGAGGCAGAGGCAGGCGGATCTCTTGAGTTCGAGGCCAGCCTGGTCTACAAAGCGAGTGCCAGGATAGGCTCCAAAGCTACACAGAGAAACCCTGTCTCAAAAAAACCAAAAAAAAAAAAAAAAAGACCACTACTGACTTGTGATTCATTATGTGGCACCCGAGACTTTTCTAGAAGTCGCCACATGAGGAGGAGCAGAGATCCCTATGCCCAGCAAGCCTGCACTGGCTCTGAGCATGGTTGCTGTCTGAAGAGACAGTATCTGGGATGTAGAATGCTGGAGCTCTGGATGCTGGGAATCACAAAGCATGAGAAGATTGACGGTGCACCCTGTCCTGGCATGGGTACCCTTCTGCTCCATGCTTTGCACACAGTAGCTGATTGCCTCTGCAAGGCCCGCCAGAGATGCTTCCTGGGACCCTATAGCCCTCCCTGGTCAACATCACCAAGCTGAGCTGAGTGCAGGGAGATGAGCTGCAAGTCCAAAGTACTCATGACCCAATTCAGCTTTAATCATGGAGCTGCCCCAGTAATGGGTCAAGGGTGTTAACTGCATGACCACCATGTGTGGAGGGAGCCCTAAAGATAGACCACATGCACTTTTACAGACCCACAGACTAAGGGCTGATCATGGGGTGAGGAAAAGTACTTGGTAGAGAGTTAAGGAGTAGAAAATCATCTTCAAATTTCTGATTTTGCCAAGGGTGTGGACCAGCAACAAAACCCTGCATAGGGCTAGGTGGGTGGATGGGTGGATGGATGGATGGATGGTTATTTGGGTGAGTAGGTGGCTAGCTGGCAGAATGACTTGATGCATAAGTGGTACCTGAATGGGCAGATGAATGGAAAAATCTGTGTATCTCAGGTACAGAGAGCAGACTACCTGCCTAGCATGTGTGTCCTCCCATCATTTGGGAAATAGAGACAGAAGGATGAGAAATTCAAGGACAATCTTGCCTAAGGGAGGCCCTATCTCAAAACTAAGAAAGTAAACAAACAAACAAAAAATCCGAAAGAGGGGCTGGAGAGATGGCTCAGAGGTTAAGAGCACTGGCTGCTCTTCCAGGGGGCCTGAGTTCAATCCCCAGCAACCACAGGGTGGCTCACAACCATCTGTAATGAGATCTGGTGCCCTCTTCTGGTGTGCAGATATACATGGAAGCAGAATGTTGTATACATAATAAAAAAATAAAATCTTTTAAAAAATCTCAAGGAGCTAACTGTACTGGCAGGAGCCCCCAGCTCTGGGGACTGCTCCCAGATCTCTGTGGTCCCCTCAGCACCCTCTGTGGTACTCACCAAGTCTTGTTTCACCTCAAGGATCCCCACCTGAGACATGGAATGAAAGTAGAATATGCCTCCTAATGTCCCGTTAAATCTGCCCTGTGGAGCAAACAGGAAATGTTGCAAGTGAGTGAAATAACTGCGACAATAACACACTATCATTTGAGACAACGCAGTGTCTTACACTTAGCCCTGAATATAATCGACATCACTGGTGATGCTCAGGAAGGCAAATCTCCTGCCTCCAGAATACAACAGCCATAGCAGAGGGCCAAGGACAACAGCTTCTTCTGAGAGGACAGGGTGTGACACTGATCATACTAGAGACCCAATTCTGTTGTCCATATCTCCCTGCTACCTCAGCCCCACATTTTCTAAGATATAGGTGTATTTTTTTAAGGATTTATTTATGTGTTTTATGTATATGAGTGTGCATGTATCCCTGCAGGCCACAAGAGGGCGCCAGATCCCATTACAGATGGGTTTCAGCCACCATGTGGTTGCTGGGAAATTGAACTCAGTACCTTTGGAAGAGCAGCCGGTGCTCTTAACCTCTGAGACATCTCTCCAGTCCCAAAATTATCTCTTGATCCCCAAAACTGAACTTTTGCTGGACCACACATTCAAGCTCATAACACACATTGAGGTAACTTAAGACTTAAGGCTGCTTAGTGACATACCTTTTAATCCCAGCACTCAGTCGGTAGAGACAGGTAGAATTTTGAGTTTGAGGCCAGCCTGGGGTACAGAGTGGGCTCTAGGACAGCCAGGGCTACACTGAGAAAACCTGTCTCAAAACATCAAGAACAACAACAAAAGACTTAAGACTGCTATCCTACTGTGTGCTCAGCCTGTATGTTCAACCTCCCTTTAAGAGAACAATGTAAAACCAACCTTGCTATGCTTTGGATTTGCCATGTAAGGTAGCTGTGTAGCTGCAAAGTTTTTTGTTTGTTTGTTTGTTTTGGTTTTTTTGGTAGAGTTCCTGCACTAAAGGGACTCTACTGCCATGCCCAGCCGTAGCTACAGACTTAAGTCATGTCCTCTCCCATGCCCCTGACACAGGGTAATGTGTGTGGTGGTCAAGCAGCCAACAGGTCAGAAGCAACATTAACAATGAATAGCCCACATTTCTCAGAAGTAGCCTTTGCATAGTGTTCAATAATGGTCATTTGCTAAAGAGTCATTTGAGGTCAAGAAAGTGGCTTTTTGGGGGCTGGAGAGATGGCTCAGAGGTTAAGAGCACTGACTGCTCTTCCAAAGGTCCTGAGTTCAATTCCCAGCAACCACGTGGTGGCTCACAACCATCTGTTATGAGATCTGGTGCCCTCTTCTGGTGTGCAGATATACATGGAAGCAGATGATGTGTACATAATAAATAAATAAAATCTTTTTTAAAAAAAGAAAGTGACTTCTTGGGCTGGAGAGATGGCTCAGAGGTTAAGAGTACTGACTTCTCTTCTAGAGGTCCTGAGTTCAATTCCCAGCAACCACATGGTGGCTCATGACCATCAGTAATGAGATTTGGCGCCCTCTTCTGGCATACAGGCATACACGCTGGCAGAACACTATACATAAATAAATAAATAAATAAATAAATAAATAAATAAATAAATAAATCTTGAAAGAAAGAAAGGAAGGAAGGAAGTGACTTCGGCCTCACAAACTATATTAAAGATTTCTGTAGAGACTCTTACCCACTGGGCATGGTGCTAATGCTTTTAATCCCAGCACCTAGTGGGTAGAGGCAGGCAGAACTCTGTGAGTTTGAGGCCAGCCTGATCCATAAAGCAAGTTCCAGTACAGCCAGGACTATTAAACAGAGAAACCCTGTCTTGAAAAAAAAATATTAAAAGCTCAACGTCCAATAGCTAGGCAGGAAAACAGGTGGGACTGGCATACCGAGAGAATAAATAGGAGGAGAAATCTAGAGAGAGAGGGAGTGAGAAAAGGAGACAGAGAGGACGCCAGAGGCCAGCCACACATCCACACAGCCACGCCGCCAGCCATGGAGTAATAAGGAATGAAAGCGATATAGAATAAGGAAAGGTAAAAAGCCCAGAGACAAAATGTAATTAAAGAGAAACGGGCTAATTTAAGTTAGAAAAGTTGGCTAGAAACAAGTTAAGCTAAGGCTGGGCATTCATAAGTAAGAATAAGTCTCCATGTAGTTATTTGAGAGCTGGGTGGTGGGCCCCCAAACAGAAAAACAAAAAAGCAAAAACAAAAACAACTACACGTTAACCGTACCAGACTTTGGGGAACACATCATACTTAAAGCACAGCTTTCCTCCACAGAAAGGTTGAGGTCTTCCCCATGCTTCTGCTCTTCTGTCATGTCCCACCCCACTTCTCATTAGCTTCTTCTCAAGACATAGCTTTGAGATGCCATCTTGGCATTACAGGGCAGCCGTCTTGGCAGTAGAGTTAGCAGGTACCTTGAACTGAGACTTCCCAGACTGAAGAATCATGAGAAATGAGTTCTTGTTCTGTTGTATTTTGTTTGTTGAGACAGGATCTTACTCTATCCTGGGCTGGACTTGAACTTGCTATCCTTTCTCAGCCTCTTGTGAGCCTCCACACCACAGCTGGACTGTTTCTCATCTATCACCCACTCCTGGGTATTTTGAGATAGCAACCATAGAAAATCTAAGACAGGCACCTTTTGGGGTCCTGAATGGACATAGCCCTTGTTTTTGTCTTTTTTCTAATGTGTATGGATGTTTTACCTGTGTGTGTGTCTGTGCACCAAATGCCTGGGACTGGTGGAGCGTGTGAAGAGAGTGACAGATCTCCTGGGACTGGAGTATTGATGGGTATGAGTCCCGAGTAAGTGCTGGAAATTGAACCTGAAGGGACCAGCCCCCCCCCCCATTTCGGCAGCCATGACAGTAACACGTGCTCACTATGACCTTGCTTTAGTCACTAGAGGTTAGGTGCCTGCCTCGTGACAAGGACCCAATCAGAAGTTAGCTGGTGGCGCTATGCTTTACGGCTCTGGGTGTGCTTTACAGACAAGTGCACAGCAATGACGCGCAGAGCATAGCAACCACCCTGGGAGGGCCTATGGGCCATAACCACCAATTGGCCAATCAACACAGGGAAAGCCCTCCAAGCCTAGAGGCATACCAATCATAAGCCTGTGCGTACCCCTAGACACTCCTCTTACGCTGCTCTACAAGATCGCATGGCAGCCGGTTTGAGGTGTCTTTCCTAGCCATCCGCCATGGCGGGTGGGTGAAAGACCCGAGCTAACATGGGGTTAGCTCGTTAAACAACAATAAAGCCTCATGCTGTTTGCATCAAGCTCTCGAATCTGCCTGGTGATTGGGGTGACCGTGGTCCTGGGCTGGGACCCCAGATACCTGAGTTTTTCCAGGGGTCTAACAAACCTAAGTCCTCTGGAAGTGCAGCCAGTGTGTGTGTGTGTGTGTGTGTGTGTGTGTGTGTATGTGTGCATGTGCGTGTGTCTCTGTGTGTGTGTATGTTTGTGTGTGTGTGTATGTCTGTGTGTGTGTGTGTGTGTATGTCTGTGTGTGTGTGTGTGTGTATGTGTGTCTGTGTGTGTATGTATGTGTATGTATGTGTGTCTGTGTGTATGTATGTGTGTCTGTGTGTTTGTCTGTCTTTAAACTCTGACTTGGAGTCTCACTATATTTCTCCCTGGCCCTAGATTGACACAGTCAGCTAACCCTCCTGTTGGGCATGCCTCAGTGGCTAAGACTACAGTTGCTTCGTGCCCAAGCCTGCCCGTTTTTTGTTGTTTCGTTTGTTTGTTTTTTGAGATAGGGTCTTTCTGTGCAGCTCTGGCTGACCTAGAACTTGCTCTGTAGACCAGGCTGGACTCAAAGTTACAGAGATCCATCTGCCTCTGCCTCCTAGAGTGAAAAGCATGGGCCGCTGCCCACCAGGAAGCCTGTCAGTCTTTAATCAACCTGTATTAATCACACATAGCATTCTCTTCCATGTCCACGTTGCTCTTTAATCATGCCCCCCATCCCCCTCTCTTGTCCTCTCCCACTCTTGCTGATCTCCTTCCTCCCAAGCAGTCCTTTTTTTAATTCCACTCTTCTGGTTTCGGTGACTGTCTCAGTCAGGTCTCTGGCTGCGATGAACAACAGCATGACCAAAAGCAACTAGGGAGGAAAGGGTTCATGTCACCTGACATTCCCTGGTACTATCCATCACCAGATGAACTCAGGGCAGGGGCTGAAGCAGAGGCCACAGAGGAACACGGCTCAGTGGCTGCTCCCACAGCTCACTTAGCCTGCCTGGGGTGGCACCGCCCACATATCATCAATCATCAGTTAAGAAAATGCCTCACAGTCCTATCTGGTGGGGGGGGGGGCATTTTCTCAATTGTGGCTTCTTCCCAAATGACTCTAGGTTGTGTCAAGTTGAGCCGATGAATTCCATCAGGACAGCCTGCAGGAGTGTGACTTGGGGGTCACTTACAGGAGCCACTGGCCATGGCTACAGCACTGAGGCAAATGTCTGTCCTTGCCCTCAGCATTAATTACCCACTGAACCAGAGAAAGGGTGGGGCCTCCCCGGGGCCACTCCCTCCATGCTCTTTCCCCAGCCACTTACCAGCTTCTCACTGACCAGGTACTGGAACGAGAATCCTCCATTGTCAGAGAAGTATATGTTGGTCCAAGGCAGCTGACCACCACGAAAATAGGCGAAAAGACTATTCGATAACTCCTGGGGAAAGAACACTTGCAAGATGTCACAAGAACGCTCAGTGGGCGGGAGTGCCTGCCAAGCATGCAGGGAGCTCCAGCTTCTGTCCCCAGAGTTATAGAAACCCAGCATGTTGGCACATGCCCACATCCCAGAACTTGGGAGATGGAGGGTCAGCAATTCTAGGTCATCCTTGGCTATGTCTGAGGCTTACTTCCATGAACCTATCCTTGGGCATCCAGGCCAAAAAATGGACATTGGAAACCTATATACAAGTAAGCATTCACAGGGTGTTCTGACCCCACACACCCTGTGTAGATTCGGTCTCACCACTTAGGTGACCATATGGATACCACAGATAGTGAGGGCATGTGACTGAGGCAGAGTGCTTGGCATAGCTTTGCTTTTAACAATCAAAGAGTGGAAACAATCAAATTCTCAGGACGCCAAAGGGGTGAGAGACCGATGCACACACAGAACAGAGTGAGTCTCTGGGGAATTTTGCAGATGAAGTCTCCAAGGCCACATCCTGCATGTTTACATTCATACATCATGACATCTGAGTGAGACTGCTCTCCCCCGTAGGCTCATCTGTCTGAACACTTGGTACCCAGTTGGTGGAATTGTTGGGGACCGGTCAGGAGGTGTGGCCTTTGTGGAGGAGGTATGTCATGGGTTGGGCTTTGAGGCCAGAGCAGGCCCAGTTAGCACCATGCCTGCCTGCTTGCCATGCTCCCACCATGACAGTCACGGACTCACCCTCTGAAAATGGGAACCCCAGGCCGGGTGTTGGCGGCGCACGCCTTTAATCCCAGCACTCGGGAGACAGAGGCAGGCAGATCCCTGTGAGTTCAAGGCCAGCCTGGTCTCAGAGCGAGTGCCAGGATAGGCTCCAAAGCTACACAGAAAAAAAAAAAAAAAAAAAAAAAAAAAAAAAAAAAAAAAAGATGTAACAGTAGATTAGGAACAAGCCTGAGTTATTGGCCAAGCATTTATAATTAACATTAAGTATCCGTGTCCTTTATTTGGTGGGTGGGAAAGAAAAGTCCATCTACAAACTATGACAGATTCTTTTTTTTAACAATGAAGTTATAGAGTCGGGTGGTGGAGGGTCGAGTGTGGCTGTCAGAGGGCTGAATAAAGGACAATTTTGTGGAGACAGACATTTCTGGATAGTATCTCCCCCTTGTTAGGTCATAAAATAGGTGTCACCTGCCCCCCTCCCCCATGGCAGTGCTGTTGACAATGACGGCCTAAGAAGATGGCCCAGCCCAAACCAGGGCAGATTTCTACCAGATGAACAGAAATTTAAGGTCAGCTTTCCTCAGAAACCCCGTGATGCACGTTTCTATCTCAGGAAAGCATTGCTTTCCTGCCCGTCCCCTCCCCCCACTGTCTACCACAACTCTGCAGTGTACCTGGTTCCTGATTAACCCAGCCTGCCTGGGTCAGCTCACACACCCTCACCCGAAGACTCTCATGTAAACCCTGTAGGGAAAAGGGGTCAGCCAAAGTAACCCACCCTGAGCAGAGCCAAAGAAACACACTTTGGCCCTGCAACCAGAACCAAAGAAATGTACCCTGACCCTGAAACCAGTGCCAGAGAAACACACTTTGTCCCTGGAATCAGAGCCAGTGAAAGAAATTTACTCGGCCCTAAAATTAGAGCCAAAAGGCTAAAAAGAAACACACCTTGGCCCTGAAACCAGAGCCAAATCTGACCCCAAACCTGTGCAGAAAACCAACCAATCCCTGAGTAGGAGATCTAGCCACTCTGAGCTCAGGGACTGAAATCTGACCAATCCCCACCCTGGAAATCTCCCTGGAAAAACTCTGCCCCCTAAGAAGCCCTCTATAAACTCTGTGTGGGTTCAGCTTCTGGCTGTCCAGGGTGGCAGAGGACAGCCACTCTCCTGGAGTCTTCCCTCCCAATAAATCTCTCTGTCTCTGTCTCTCTCTCTCTCGTGTGTGTGTGTGTTTGTGTGTGTGTGTGTGTGTGTGTGTGTGTGTGTGTGTGTGTGTGTACATTGTGAAGGTCAGAAGCGACTGTGGAGCTGGTTCTCTTCTTCCACTTTTATATGGATTCTGGGGAGCCAGCTCAGACATCAGCCTTGTGTGGGTACCTTTACTCATTGAGCCACCTGACTGGCCTTTGCTCTTGGTTTTTTGTTTGGTTGTTTTTTTGTTTTTTTTTTGATTCTTGGTTTTTGTTTTGTTTTTTTTCTTTTTGTCTATTTACTTGTTTGTCTGAGGTTCTCACTGTTTGCCAAGGTTAGTCTAAAATTGATGGCTGTCCTTCTACCTAAGCATTCTGAGTACTGAGATTGCAGGGGTAGAACACCAAGCCTAGGTTCAATTAACTTTAAAAAAAACAACAACAACTGTTTTTGAGGGGCTAGAGAGATGACTCAGAGGTTAAGAACATTGACTGCTCTTCCAGAGGTTCTGAGTTCAATTCCCAGCAACCACATGGTGGCTCACAACCATCTGTAATGAGATCTGGTGCCCTCTTCTGGCATGCACTATATACATGATAGATAAATAAATAAATAAATAGATAGATAGATAAATAAATAGATAAATAAAATAAATCTTTTAAAAAATTGTTTTTGAGCCAGGTGGTGGTGCACGCCTTTAATTCCAGCACTCCTGAGGGAGAGGCAGGCAAATCTCTGAGTTAGGCCATCATGGTCTAGAGAGAGAGCTCCAGGTCAGCCAGGGCACACAGAGAAACCCTGTCTCAAAAAACAAATAAATAAATATGTGTATGACTTTTTAAAAGAGTTATTGGGGAAGAGAGTCTACAGGCCTGGACACTGCTGCTCCTCAAAGCTGTTGGGTGCCACACAAAAGCCTCATGCCAGATGTGGCAGGGATCCACATGAGCCATTAGCCAAAGAGGCCCTGAGGCCCCCAAACAATACGGGCTTCTTGGTCATCTGCCAGACCTAGCTAACATGGCCCTATTGCTGGAGACTCCTCACACCTGGTCATAAGATATAAAATAAATTAGTTGGAAGCTTCCTTCTTGCTGGCTGGCTTCCACAGCTAGGAAGTGCTCAGTGGGGTTCAGGGGGAGGACAAAGAATGATGGGCTTACCCAGCTATGCCACCTATGAGTGACAATTGCTGACTGACCTTTGGGGCATGGCTGTTCTGGGTTGAATGAAAGGAGTTTTTAATCTTGTTTGAAACTCTGGGGTCACAGGTCTGTAGGACCCCATACCATCCTTTAGCTCAACTGCCAAAACATCTGCTTATACCAAAGCTAAGCGCTGCTCTCAGCCCCAGTTGCAGGAAGCTTGGTCATGAGCAGCAGGAGATGCAGAGGCTTGTAGTGGCGCCCGTGCTGAGGGTGAGGGGCAGGATGCTTACACCACCTGCTCCAGGCACAGAGCAGGGCAGAGAAGCTAAAAGCTGGGAGAGTAGGTGAAGGGGCTGGAAACTGGTAAAGGCCACCTTCCAGAATGACAGCCACGGCAGTGTGGATCCGAGGCAGGGCTCCAGCCATCCTACCACTCCTGCCCAGCTGTTGGCCAGCAGCTCTCCCTCCTCTCTCTCTCTCTCTCTCTCTCTCTCTCTCTCTCTCTCTCTCTCTCTCTCTCTCCCTCTCCCTCTCCCCTCTTCTCTCTCCCTCTCCCTCTCCCCCCTTCTCTCTCCCTTCCTTTCCCCCCCTCAAGTTCTAGGTAGCCCTGGATAGCCTAGAACTCACTATGAACACCAGACTGGCCTGGACCTCATGGAGACCAGCCTGCCTCCACCTCCCAGACTTACCTGTCCATTAAACAAACAAAAGACTGGGTGAGATAGTGTAAGGTAGGTGTTCAGGTCATGCTTGCCATCCTAACTCCTTGGAGGTGAAGACAGGAGGATCAGGAGTTCAGAGTCATATTTAGCCTGGGCTTTATGAGTCCCTGCCTCAAAATCCAAGAAAACACCCCAAAATACAATAATAAAGGAAGACACACATTTAGTTCTGTTGATTGGTCAATCCCACAGGAGGTTACCTAATGGGTCAGTCTTCCTCTGAGTGTGGGAAAGTGACACCACCTAAGGTTACCCTTCTTATAGGTTCCTAGGTCATTCCTAAGTATGTGCATTTAGAATAGAACATTTTTTTAAATGAAAGATTCCAACTTACCACGCAAAACTGGTTATTAAAACAACAAGTGTCACCACTAACATGTGAGACAGGACTTGACACACCTGAAGGGAAGATAAGTTAAAATATATACATATATACATTGCCTTTGTGTGTGTGTGTGTGTGTGTGTGTGTGTGTGTGTGTGTGCCTGTGTCTGTGTGTGCACATAGTGCAGGTGCCTGATGAGGTGGCCAGGAGAGGGCACTATGTCCCTGGAGGTGGAGTCATAAGCAGCTGTGAGTTTTGCTTTTGTTTTTGACACTGGCCTACAACTAACTGGCTATCCATCCCTGGTTGACATCCAACCCCCGAAACTTCCTGCTTCCACATCCCAGATGCTGTGCTGAGGGTCCTGCGCTAACACCCTGGCTGTGTGTTTTGAGTTCTCCAAAGTTAAGTATTAGGCCAGGCCAGGCATGACAACACATGCCTGTTAGTCCAGGACTTAGGGCTGAGGCAGGAGGATTGTGAATCTGAGGGCAGCCTGCACTACAGAGTGATTGACCTCCTCAAAACAAAACAGGGGCTGGAGAGATTGTTCAGTGGTTAGAGAACTGGCTGCTCCCCCAGAGGACCCGGGTTCACTTCCCAGAACCCATATGACAACTCACAGCCATCTGTGACTCCAGTTCCAGGGGACCCTGTAGTTGGAATTTTCTTTTGGCCACCAACCAGCTTCCAAATAATGACACAAAGACTTAGTGTTAATTATGAATGCTCAGGCATAGCTTAGGCTTGTCCCACTGACTCTTATAACTTAATTTAACTGCTTCTCTTCATCTATGTTTGGCCTTAGGGCTTTTTAACCTTCCTTTCACTCTGTCTGCCCTGCTTGCCTGCTTCTTCCATGTCTGACTGACTGGCCCTGGCATCTCCCTGACGTTTCTTTTTTTTTCTTCCAGAGCCTAAATTTTTCCTCTTTCTTACTCTCCCTGTCTGGAAGTCCCACCTATACCTCCTCCCTTGCTATTGGCCACTTGGCTTTTTATTAAACCATTAGGGGCCTTAGGCAGGCAAGGTAAAATAGCAAACACACCTTTACATAGTTAAACAAATGCAACATATCTTTGTATAGTTAAAATAACATTCTGAAACAGGACCTGACACCCCCTTCTGGCCTGCATGGGCACTGAAGACATGTGATAGACAGACATGCAAGCAAACAGTAATACACATTCTATAAAAGAAAAAGAACCCATCAAACTTGAAATGCAATACATGTATACATAGTTAAACAAATGCAACCTATCTTTGTACAATTAAACAAATATTCCAAAAACAGGACCTGATGCCCTCTTCTGGCCAGCATGGGCACTGCATACATGTGATAGACAAGACATGCAGGCAAACAGTAATACATATACTATAAAAGAAACATAACCCATCAAACTTGAAATGCAACACATGTATACATAGTTAAACAAATGCAACATATCTTTGTACAGTTAAACAAATATTCCAAAACAGGACCTGATGCCCCCTTCTGGCCAGCATGGGCACTGCATACATGTGATAACACAGACATATGCAGGCAAACACTGATACAATACGATAAAAAGAAAGAAAGAAAACCCACAAAACTTTGAAATGGGGCTGGTGCTCAATGGGCAGCACTCCCATGTAGCATGCACAGGCCCCAAGTTCCATCCCAGCACCACATAAAGCAGACATGGTAAAGCATGCCTGCCATCCCAGCAACCCAGAGGAGGGACAGGGGGAGCAGCTCAAGGTCATTCTGGCTATATAGCTAGGTTAAGGCCCACCTGGGTTACACAAGGACCTGTCTCCAAGAAAGGCAAGACAAGGTGCAGCAAAGGAACAGGGACAGCAAAAAGAGAGCACAGGGTGGGGTGGGGTGGGGAGGGGCAGCCTGCTGCAGGCACAGGGAACCACACACCTATAGCTTTGCTCCATTTGTCCGTAAGGTAATTGTAAGAGTAGACGTTCTTATTCACCACCAACAACAGTATAGTACCAGAAGCAAAGAAAGCGCTCGTGACTGATGCTACTCCCACCTAAGAACAATGACATACACTGTAACAAAATCCCTGATGTAGGCACAGAGGGCTTCTTCTGGTTCACAGGGAGGGCAGGGTCCATCATAGGGTTGGTGGGGGGGAGTCAGCTAGTCAGGTCACATCACAGCAGCAGAGAGCTGGGTTTGGTACCCAGATCAGGAGTCATCACAAGTACATACTGGTAGCTGAAGCTAGTTAGGACATTAGTTTGGGGATCAACTGTTCTAGACACAGATGCCAAAATGATTTGGGCTAGTAATGCTTGCTATTTATTTATTTACATATTTATTTATCTTATATCATCCAGGCTGGCCTCAGCCTCGCTCAGAGATCTGCCTGCCTCTGCCCCTCAAGCCCTGGGGTCAAAGTCATGAACCATTAGCACTCCATGCAACAGACATTTATTTACTGTGTGTGTGACATGTGTCCTTTACCTGTGCACATGTGGAAGCCAGCAGTTAATACCGCCACCACCTCTGTAACCCTCCACCTTATTTTATTTTTAGCACTTATTATTTTTATTATTTATTTATTTATTTATTTAGTTTTTCAAGACAGGGTTTCTCTGTGTAGCTTTGGAGCCTGTCCTGGAACTCACTCTGTAGACCAGGCTGGCCTTGAACTCACAGAGATCTGCCTGCCTCTGCCTCCCGAGTGCTGGGCCTAAAGGCGTGGGCCACCACCGTCTGGCCCTCGCTTATTATTTTTAAATAATAAGTGGACTCATGATCCTCCTGCATTTTCAGCATATCCTACTAATGGGTCTTGGCTCAGCAATTAAGGACACTGGCTGCTCTTCCAGAGGATCAGAGTTCTGTTCTCAGCACCCACGAGGCGGCTCACAACCACCTGTAACTCCAACTCCAGGGGACCCAACGCCCTCTTCTGGCCTGCCCAGGCACTGCATGCACTTGGTGCATAGACAGACATGGAGTTACACACACAAAGTAAATTCCACTTTTAAAAGAGTCATTATTTTTAGTTATGTGTATCTGGCATGTGCTTTTGAGCACCTCAGAGGTGCTGGGGATTGAACCCAGTGATCTAACCACTGAGCTTTCTCTGATCTCACCTTCTGAGGTCAGGTCTCACTGAACCTGGACTTCTCTGTTTGGCTGGCAGCCAGTGAGCTCCCGGCCCCTCCCTCCTCCACTCCACACACGTGCTTCTCTATGTATTCTGGCAGTTCCTAGTCACATCCTCACATGAGTCATGGAGCTGGCTCCTCAGCCCCTAATTCATTTGTTTCTCCCACACTGGGATCTGGGTCTGCAATTATCTGGCCAGATGCTAAGGTAGGAAGGCAAATTTGGTCTCTGTCCACCTGGGTGCACCCTTCTTTCTTAGCAGAAACTCCTCTGAGAGACTGGAGAGAGGTTCAGTGACTATGAACATGGATTGCACCTGCAGGGGGCCAAGGCTGGGTTCCTGGCACCTGTAGAGGCTCATGACTACCTGTTACTCCAGTAACAGGTAGACCACACACACTGGTCTCCTTGGGCACCAGGCACACACATGGTGCACTAACAGGCATGCAGATAAAACACCATATATAAAAAATAAAAATAAACAAAATCTCAAATGAACATTTTAAGAGAAGGGGAATAGAAAAGGAGAAAGATAAAAACTACATGGATGGAAAAAATAAAAGAAAGAAAAGGAGAGGGTAGTGAGGGAGGGGTGAGGGAGGGAGGGAAGGGGAAGGGAGGGGTGGATGAAATGGAATGAAATGATGGAATGACATCACTCTCTTCTGAATTATTGTGACTCAACATCTGGGAGAGTGTCTCGTAAAAGGACTGGCAGCTGACAGACCAGTGCCCCGAACCCCAGTCTTCTCTGAGTGCAACTCATTTGGAGTCATAGGATGAGGAAATATCTACCTCCATTGACTTGGGAATGATGAGTGGTGGCAGGCTGCTCTCAAAGTTGTCCTTGGATAAAAAAACCTTTTTCCTGCAAAAACCAAAACCAAACAAACAAACAAAACAGGTAGAAATCAGGAAATCAGGAAGCTTCTTGTGCTGGGTGGGCCTAAGACCATCTCCCTTCCAAGCTACCTGCCAGCCCAGAGTCACCCAGAACGTTATACTGTGTCTGCCTCTTCTTCTTCTTCTTCTTTTTTTCCCATAACATAGTACAAAATGGCTACAAATGAAATAAGCCAGATGTGGGGGTGGCACAGGCCCGCTGTCCTGGCACTTCAGAGTTTGAGGCCAGAGGATCAAGAGCTCAGGCTAGCCTTGTGGGAACCTCGGCATTATGCGGATCCCGCCCTCTGACAATGGATGGCGCTCGCATATCGGCATTCAGGCAGATATTAGGCAGCTCAAAGGGTCCTGTGTTGCATGGCTGTGTCATGTAAGGACTCAGTACTCACGTGCAAGCTCCCCCTTTTAAGCAAGCACCCCCATGTGTTTGCTCTCCCTTCACCCCCTCCTCTCTCTCTCTCTCTCTCTCTCTCTCTCTCTCTCTCTCTCCCTTCTCCGCCCCTCTCTCCCCCTTCTCTACTTCTCTCTCTCCCCTTCCCTCTTTTCTTCTTTCCTTTCCCTTCAATAAACTCCACATGGGTTTTTTGAGTCTCATGGTTTGTTTTTTCATCTACCCTTAACTGAAGCATGGTTTCCTGTTCCATCTACACTACTTATAACTTGAAAAAAAGAACAACAAGCCTGGGCTACATGAGACCCAGTTACAAAGTAAAAAAAAAAAAAAAGCAAACAGGTAAACAAAGAAATAAATGCGTTTGTGACCAGTGGCCAGCAGTGGTGGCACACCCTATAATCCACTCCCGCACTCTGGAGGCTGAGGCCTGTGGGTGCTTCAGGCTTGAGACTGTCCTGGGATACTGAATCAGAGTCTGTCTATAAAAACAAACACACAGAGCCCGGTATGGTGGCGCACACCTTTAATCCCAGCACTGGGGAGGCAGAGGCAGGCGGATCTCAGTGAGTTTGAGGCCAGCCTGGTCTACAAAGAGAGTTCTAGGACAGGCTCCAAAGCAATACAGAGAAACCCCGTCTTGGAAAACAAAACAAAAACAACAACATGGACCAGCAAGATGACACTCGACACCAAGCCCGACCACCTGGGTTTTATCCCCAGGACTAACAGTATGGAGCCAACCCTCCCCACACACACAAATTGGCCTCTGGCCCCTACAAAGATTCTGTAGTGTACTCAGCCATGCACACAAATAAATAAATGTAATTAAAATCTTTTAAGCCAAGAAAATAATTTTTTGTTTTGTCAAGCTATGATTGGTGGAGGCCTCAGGCTTGGTACCTGTCCTCTAAGTAGGAATGCTTTGTTTGTGCCCACATCTTCCTCTCTGCCCTAAGCCAGCCCAGCTAGGATTCTCTAACTTGAGCCACACTAACAACTTGGGCCAGAGCTGGTTGAGTTTTGAAAAATAATAGGCAGGGGGAAAAGGCCAGAAGGGCAGGGAGGAGGAGAGGGATGGGAGGGAGAGGAGGGGGGGGGAAGGAGACAGGGAAGCGGCTCACCCCAGGTACAGGACAACGTTACTCTTGCAGAAGTTCCTGAGTACATGTGTGGTGTTGTACGCATGAAACAGCTGGTCCTGCAAACAGCACAGACCCATCAGCCTGGAGGAGGCTGGGCCTGCTCCTTAGTATCAAGAGGAAGGAGCAGAGCCCAGATTCTCAGTCCCAGTCTGGGTCACTGAGATGGAGAGAAGGAAAAGAAAATACCAGGAACACCCCTGCTGTGCGGCCTGCCATGGAAGAACAGGGAAGTGTGAGGAACCACTTACCCCTTTAGCTAGTGGCTCAGATGCAAACACTTTTCCAGTCCTCACCTTGCGCTGGCTAGAAGGGTCAAAATACAGCAACAGTCAGGCTTTAGCTTTTCCTTTATTCTATTTTTAAATACTTGTGTGGGTGTTTTGGCTGCATACAGTGCCCAAGGTGCCCAGCAGGGGGCATTGGGTCCGTTAACACACACACACACACACACACACACACACACACACACACAGCAGCCTTGTGGTTGCTGGGATTGGAACCTGGGGCCTCTACAGGTGCAGCCAGTATTCTAGCCTCTGAGCCATCATGGCTTTTCCTAACATGCTGCCTCCAGACATATTGTACAGTATGTAGTCTTGGTGCTTCGAGGGTTCTGGGAGTTCTACAGCATTGAATGTTGGTGGGAGATGCTCCTGCCACAGTCCCTGGAACAGCGTAAGAGCTCAGCAGGGTGCTGTGGCTTGGTCAGCCTTGTGTGCCTACCACAGAGGAGGAGGCAGAGACAGGAGAATCCAGAGACTTCATAGCTCACATTCACACAAAGACTGGGCCAGTGAGATGGCTCACTACATGAAGGGGCTTGCTACAAAGGCTAATAACCCAAGTTTGGCCCTGGTGGAGAGAACGGACTCCTGCAAGTTGTCTTCTGACTACACACACACACACACACACACACACACGAGACACACACATATATATACACAGACACATATACACACAGAGACACACAGACATGCATATACACAGAGAGACATATACAGATATACACATACACACACATACAGAGACACACAGATATATACACATACATACACATACACACATACATACGCACACACATAATTTAAATGATTTTCCAGATGTGGTGCACACCTTATCCCCGCTCTACAGAGTGAGTTCCAGGATACCTAGGGCTACATAGAGAAACCCTGTCTCAAAAATGCTTGAGGGATGGCTCAGCAGTTAAGAGCACTGTCTGCTCTTCCAGAGGACCGGGATTTGATTCCCAGCATCCACATGGCAGCTCACACCTATCTGTAACTCAGGGGACCTGATGCTCTCCGTGGGCTCTCTGACTTTTACCCGTCATACCCCATCTCATGCACAGTGCTGGGGATGGAACCCAGGGCTTAGTGCTACGGGGGCTCTCTACCTTGAAGGGTCCCCCAGTTACTTTCACTGTTTATTCAGAGACAGGTTGCATAAGTAGCCCAGGCATAGATCTCCCCGTCCTCCCCCTCCTCTTCCTCACTGCTGCGATGGCAGGTATGTACCACCATGCCAGTGGTCTGTGGTACTGGAGGTGGCCTGGGCTTCACCAGCTGAGCCAGTGCTCTTCCCCCTGAGCTCCAGCCCAAGCCTCACCAGCAGTTGCTTTTTCCAAGTATTTATTTTTTCTTTCTTTTTTTTTTTTTTTTTTAAAGATTTTATTTATTATGCATACAGGCTTCTGCTCACATGCCAGCAGAGGGCACCAGATCTCGTTCAAGGGGGTTGTGAGCCACCATGTGGTTGCCGGGAATTAAACTCAGGACCTCTGGAAGAACAGTCAGTGCTCTTAACTGCTGAGCCATCTCTCCAGCCCCTCCAAGTATTTCTTAAGCTTTCCTATTTTGGTTTTTAATGTTTTGCAGCAAATAAGTTCCTTTTGGGTGGGACAAGTCACTTGTCTGGGACACCTACACCTCTTGAGTCCCTGTGGCTCCGTGTGGATGACTGTTATCACCTGTCACCTCAGTACTTGGGAGACTGAGGAGGCATGATATTTTTTAATTCAGAGACAGGTCTGACTATGTAGCCCAGGTTGACTGTAAACTCATAGCAACCAAGTGCCTTCCTGGACTCTAGTGATGATTCAGGGTTCAGGGCTAGAGAACCAAGGTCCCCAGGGGACACTTAGCAACACATAGAGAGACATTATCACATGTTAGCGATCATAGACACTGCTAACCGTGGCACCATGCATGGCACACTTCCCAGCATGTATTTAACTAGCTTCAGATGCCAGAAGCTTGGGGATGGATGGTGGGACAGCTTTCAGACTGCACAAGGAACTTGGGTTTTATGCATGCCCAAAGCCCTGGTTCTACACGCAGCACCGGGTTTTGTGGTGTGCTTGGAAGGGACGTGTCATGTTTGATTCCTACAATGAGGCTGGAGAGCAGGCCTCGGCTCCAACAAGAACCAGCCTCCTGCCATCCCTAGCTGCATCCCATTCCGGTTAGGGAGTCATACCTGCACACTGGCTGAGCACTGACCACAGAGGCCACTCCTGCCAGCATCAACAACAGCATCTTGCTTGCCTGGTCGTCAGTAGCTAACACTGCTCCTCAACTGCCAAGGAGCTTGAGGAAGAATGTGAGCATGCGCATAGAACCTGCGGGTACGCCACTTCACGCCCCCACTCCCGAGTCGGCCCTGCGCACCTGGTATGAAGGCTGCTATCAGGAACCTTTTGGGTATGCAGCACAGAATCCCTGAAAAAGCCCCAGTAGGTCTACTCCGAGGCAAGTGAGCATAGAAACATGGAAGCAGAGCACGTTGAACCTGGAAGCACCCAGGCTCCCACTCCGTAAGTCAGATTCGTGAGCATGCACGAATGAATTCGAGGAAGTCTGCGTAGAGTGTGCATTAGGACGGGTGGGTGTGGAACCGGGGCTTTGGGCATGCATAAAATCCACTAGCAGCTTTGCAAAGTTTGAGCATGCGCACTGGGTCTCTTGGGATGCTCCCTTGAAACTTCAGTGTTTTCTTAAGTGCTTTATGAATAAGTACCTGTCCATACAGGCGACTGTCCACCGAGCACGCACACATGTGCGAGGCTTGCCATGTGCCTATGAGAGAGGGAGGCAAAGCTCTCTACAGGTGCCTCCTCCAGCGTGGAGTGAAGACGGTGGGACGGACCTGTCGCTGTGTATCACCAGTGCACAAGAATAAGGCTGGGGGCTGGAGAGATGGCTCAGTGGTTAAGAGCACTGACTGCTCTTCCAGGGGACCCGGGTTCAATTCCCAGCACCCACATGGCAGCTCACAACTGTCTGTAACTCCAGTTCCAGGGGACTCAACACCCATGGCAAAAACACCAATGCACATAAAATTGCAAAAAAAATAAATAATTTAAAAAAAGAATAAGGCTGAAGCACTGTGCTTTCCCTCTCATGCCTTCCCTACCAGTTACTCGAGGAAAAACTTATGATGAAACAAGGAAACAGACGCTGGCCTACCACAGCGCTTAAACAGGAAGGGACCACGCCTCCTCCAGCACCCGCTCCCTGCGCCGCGCTCCGACCACGCCCACAACAAGCCCCACACCCTCTGTCGGCATTTGGCCCCGCCCCTTGAGCCCACCTCCCGCCTCATCCCACTCCACCTCTTCAAGCCTCGCCTCCTCAAGTCTCCTTCATGGCCACGCCCCCACCCGCGCCTCTCAAGCCCCGCCCTTTGAGTGGGCCTTCGGCCTCGCCCCCGCTTCCGGTTCCTCAGGGCCCTCTCCGGGGAGCGTTAGTTCTCCGGACCACACACCACTTCCGCCCCCTCCAATTCATTCTTCCTCCAGCGTCTACAAC